TTGCTTTGGATTGGGAATTATTTTTTATACAAAATGTAAATGTTTTGATTTGCAGTTAAATACTAGCCTATTTATAATACTAGCAGAAATCCTACTGCAGGGTACACTTAGTGATTGAGAATTTAATCAAATAATAATATATATTTGGATAAGCAGTACGAGTAGTGAGAATATACAAACCAATTATCTTCTCGGGTTCTAGGCCACGATCAAATCCAGAGGCTTTTTTGTCATCACTTTTAGTTTTTTTGGCACCTTTCAGATCTGGTGTTGCTGCAGAAGATTTGCGTTTCTTTGAATCCTTGTCCGTTTTACTAGTCTTGCCCTCTGTAAACAAATGTAAACAAATTTAGACTTATTTTTATTTCAGCATCTAACTTGTAGAATGTTAATATAAATTAATATTTTACCTGCTTCTTTCTTTTTGCGAGCCTCTTCAAAAGCTTGAATTAGATCGGGGCAATCTAAATTTTCTTCAGGCTCCCATGTATTATCTTCATCAGTGTAACCTTTCCATTTCAAAAAATACTCCACCTGAAAATTTTATCACATTTAAATATTTGGCGACCTCTGTGGCCGAGTGGTTTGTACTCCGGGTTACATGGTTTCGCCGACTCGAAAGGTCCCTGGTTCGAATCCCGGTGGGGGCAGATGTTTGTGTGATGAATACGACCATTTGTACTCCAGTCATGGATGTTTAATATGTATTTCTACATAAATATACTTATGTATCTACAGTGATGTCGATTCTGGCATGATTCTCTAAAACTAAACTTAAATTTTACAACAGTGCATCCCTGTCATTCTCTATACAGAATGAAAAGGAGACTGATGTTAAATTTAGTTTTAAGTTTAGAGAATTACGCCAGAATCGACACCATTATAATTATGTATTGTATCTGTTACCCTAGTATCCCATAACACAAACCTTACAGTGCTTACTTTGGGGCTAGACAAATTGGTGTGAGTGTCGGAAATATTTATATTTAAGATATGTTGGTGCAATGGCAGTGGTCTACTCGGTCTTCTACTAGAAAAGTCAAAGGTTTGAATCCAGTTGGCTAGGCTGGACAGTCTTCTTCTTCTTCAATCTTTATCTACCCACTGCTGGGTACAGGTCTCCCCCATGGTGCGCTAATTTGCTCGGTATTGCACGATCCACCGGATCCAGTTTTTTCCTGCTACTTTGGTGACGTCATCGGACCATGTGGCGGGCTGCCTACCACGTTGCTGCGTCCTGTAGGTCACCACTCCACATCCGTCATCTGTTCTGCGAGCCACGTGACCCACCCACCTCCCTATTTCTCTGCGAGTTCGCGAGCAATGTCGGGTAGTTTTGTTCTTTTCCATATGTCCTCATTGTGTACATGGTCTTCTAGGGATATACCAAGCATGGCACGCTGCATTTCAGTCAGAACAGGAAGAAAACATTGACTGAACGCGCGACATTTGAGAAATTGTGGCATTTTACTTTTGAAGTTGTTGTTGTAATTTGTTGAATGCTGCCACTGTATTGCAACCCAGTCCAATACAGCGGTTGATTTCTCTAGCCTATCTGCTTTTATTGAGTGTAATGAGCTGCCCCAAATATAAATAGTCTTCCAACTATTTAATATAATTTTCTGCTACTACTTGTAACATGTTATAAATATAATAAATACAGTACTACGTTAATTAACCGAATCGGTCCTTAGTGTAATATAAAAAATTAAAACCAAGTTAGCTTTGTTTTGTTGTAACAAGTTGGAACTCGCTGGAGTCCCGATATATTTCAACAATTATGGTTGAAAGCTAGAGGCAAGACACTACATGTTTTGCGTCACGCGGATATTTTGTGTTTGTTAAACTTAATAAAGTTTATTTTATGTGTGATAGTACGTTTTTCTTTATTACCCGTCTATGTCCGATTATCCGAATCGACCCCAGTCCCAATTAATTCGGATAATCGGCGTACTACTGTACATAAATTATAAATATTTCCAACACACACACCAATTAGCCTAGCCCCAAAGTAAGGCTTGTGTTATGGGATACTAGGGTAATGGATAGAATACTTATACTGATACATATATATTTATATAGAAATACATATTAAACATCCATGATTGGAGTACAAATACTCGTATTCATCACACAAACATCTGCCCCACCAGGATATGAACGCTGCCATTGTCAGACCTCACATGATGGCTGGGACTAAAGGCCATCTTTTCTTTTGTCTCTTCATCATGGAGGGTAATTGGCCTTAAAACGCCACGCTAGCCATTGCGGGTTGGCGAGTCTACTTCTTGGAGAATATTCTGTATCTCCAGGCTTGTAGGAGCCATTCTGTTTAACACAGAAGGGCCAGTTAATTGACCGTGGCCCAACACTTGACGTTGACAATTTTACAGATGGACAGGTCTCATCCGCACAAACCCTCCTCCTTTCTTATCCAGACCGGTAGGGACTGGCAACGGCGGAGTTCGGGCTAGACAGTAAATGACACTTTTTAAACAACTAGCTCCAAAGTTGATAGTTTAAACTTCGAGGTTATTATAAAGCATGCCCATTTGTGGAACACCAACAAAGTTCTGATCAAATGAGCACTTCAGAGCCCTGGTGCAGAGGCCGAAGAGAATAGTTGCTAATGACTGTAGGAACTGCATGGCTGTAAGAGCCTACTGCATGTGCATTGGTAGCTACAACTGGGAATCAAACTAGTGAAATTTCGAAAAAAATAACTCAGCATATCTTATGATAACCATCGAAAGGGTTAATCATAAGAATTATTTTTTGCTAAATAACATAGCATATTAAATGAAAGGAATGTGAATTACGTGATAAAAATAATAGTGTTATACAAACTGTAGTACATATGCATTTCTTTTTGAACTCACAGTTACAATGCGACTGGCAGAAATTTGTAATAATAATAATTCCAAAAGGGAACACATAAATTTTCAAGTGTCTGTTCTTTTGTTTTTTGTGAGTTTCATTTTCATTTATTTCCAATTTTTTGTTAATTTACTTACCATGGCATATCAAAAATCTTTCTCTATCTCTATCTTTCTTTCATTATTTAAACACATATTGAGAAGATTTGTCTCTATCAGGATATCTTTTGCGGTACCACCGCTAAGCTAATGATGTCTTTGTGGTTCATAAAGTAAGCTTACATGAAATCTATTTTATTTTGATGCGCCATGGTAAGTAAATTAACAAAAAATTGCAAATAAACGAAAATGAAACTCACGAAAAACAAAAGAACACAGGCTTGAACATTTATGTCTTCCATTTACGAATTATTATTACAAATTTCAGCCAATTGCATTGTAACTGAATTCAAAAAGAAATGCATACATACTACAATTTGTATATCACTTTATTATTTTTATCACGTAATAAGTCATTCCTTACATTTAAAATGCTATGTTATTTAGCAAAACATAATCCTTGTGATTAACCCTTTCGATGGCTATGATAAAATATGTCATTATTTTTTTCGAAATTTCATGAGTTAGATTCCCAGTTGTAACAGGCAATTTTTAAAAAATCTGTGAAAGCAGTTCTAGTTATTATTAAAAATAAAATGATGTCTTCTTTCAGTTAAATATCCTATCTCAATATTTAATATACTTTCCCTCCGTGTGAGGTAGCCGTGGGACGCCCTGTATAAGTAGGAATTAACAATTGAATATAATAAGTATAAAGTTAACATAAAACAAAAACAATGCATGTTTTACCTTTCCATTTCTCATTCGTCGATCCAAAACTTTTTCTACAGAGAATTCCTCCTCAACTTCAGGTTCTCCTTCTTTTTTCTTTTCTGCCATTTTGATTTAACCTGTGCAATTCATATAAAACAAAAGCCACTTATTATTATTTGATTCAGTGCATGAGCAGTAGAATCTGCATTTTAGTAAGATTATTCTTGAAAAAAAAATTGAATTATGTTTAAAGAAAGTATTACTAGAAAAAAATCCACACGGACCAAGCAGCATACAGGACTCGAACACACACCCTTCGATATCCAGGCAAATGCACCGAGAGCCTGGATTTGTAGGGTGTATGCTGCTTGGTCCGTGTGGAATTTTTTCTAATAATACTTTCTTTAAATTTTAAAATCGAGCAGTTACATGCTTAAAAAATAAAAATTATAACTAGGTATAATTGTTATTTCTTTTTTAAAATGTTTAATACTTGTAAAGGTATTCATTTCACATTGTCCATTATTATATGCATTTATGTAAGACAATAAGTGATGCTTATACTCTTGGCAGGTACTAGAAATGACAATCTGATTGTAATTTCAGCTCAATAGAATGTACATAAAAACTAATGAAAAAGTTAATTACCGTCACCGGTCAAGTCAGAAGCCGAAGTATAAAAGAAAGAATATCCCGTGCTACTCAGACTCCGCAACAATGTTGTCGAATCTGCAAAAATACAAAAAACATCCGATGTAAACTACTGTAATGTTTACTTGTCCAAGTAGGCGTAACTGGTAAAAAAATAATTTCTGCGTTAAGTCTTAACAAAAATCAGAATTTAATCTAAAACAGAAGAATTAGAATGGCATACAGGCACCGCACCATACAATACCAGGTAACCTTAAAAATACACAGCCATAAACCTTGCCAACTAAATAATAATAAAAACAAACACTTCAAAATCAAACTAAACCAAAATATCTATAAAGATCTTTATCTTTATACCAGTAATGTTAACGTAGTTTATTAGACCAGTAATTTTAGCAGAGATTTTAAAAAATCGGTAAGGATAAGCTTTCATCCCGCCATTTTGGAAGTATTGTTCACACACGAGCTGTTGAAGGATATTAATTTCCATCAAGTATCTATATTACTTTTATTAAATCTAACGAAAAAATTAACCGTAACTCGAAAAATCATTCATAACACACTTATATCAAGTAGGTACTCACATCGAAAAAATAAAGCCGGCAAAGGCGTACAAACAAAATTCTCGCTTGCTTTCTTTTAGATTTTATATTTTTTTTACCACAGACTTTTTTTAACCAAACCAGAGAGTAGACATGCATGACCATAGAGAAAATTACTATTAGGCCGGCAAAAAACATGACGTTTTGACCCGACGATAGACAATTTTTCTTTTTTTTTTCAGACAAAGCGGTATGTACAAATTTTCCCTTGCCTCAAAAGGGGAGAATTTCATCAAAAAAAAAGAAAGAAATAAGTTAAATTGTCTATGCCCTTTTGTAGGTACTAGAAAGTTGTAAATAGGTAATTTTACATAAAAATTTAACTAGTTTCATTGTAAAACAGTGTCTTATGTATAGTAAGTGAATAAATGGTTGATATGTGACTATTAAAAGTGATGTGTACCCTTAATTGGTATGCCCAATGAAACAAAAAACTATCATTGCGCACGAAACCCCAACGCCATTTTGAGGCGAAATTTTGTATGTAAGTGCCAAGTATTTCGCAATATTTTTAATTCTCGCCCTCAGGAGAGGGTTATAATTGATAACTTATCTTGAATATATAGTATATTATGCACTCGCGGAATACTTTTACCGTACAAGTGAGGTTTTTAATGAAGGTGGAGCTTGACTACGCCGAATGAGACTGCGGCACCGTTTATCTGTAGCTCGTTTAATTAAATTAGTCTGTTTAGTAGTGGTTTTGGTGGACTGTGTATTTGTTACTTGAAATGTTTCGTATTGTGATAACTCATGAACATTTGGTGCCACCGGATTGACTAGTAAAAATCAGCGTGGTCCTTGTTATCGCTGGCGTTTCCGATTTTTACAGATATCTTTTGGCGCAGAGAATGGCCTGGGGTGACGGGAGAGCCCTAATAAACTGACGGACGTCGCCGGCTTACAGCTGGCGCAAGCAGTATGTCATCGCTGTTCTTTTTCTTTAGCCATTGTTGCATGGTTATATACTTAAAATAATATTATTAAAATGCCTTAAAAATACTCTTATTAGATTCAATCATTCTTTAAAACTTGGTGGTAGTGATAGTCTTACTTAGTTGAGTTGTAAATAGAATTTATAAATTCCCTTAAGTCCTATAACAACTTTACTTTATATTTGGTTGTAGTCAATAATTAGGATCTCTTTAATCTTGTTATTTGTTACTAATATAATTGACAGTTTAAAAAGCAGATACGTTCCTGTGGTGTTTTGGCAAAAACTAAAACAATACTTTTGGAAAAAGTGCTTTGATTCCAAAAAATATAAAACACTGAACCTATAACTAGACAGTTTCCAGTATGATGAAATTTATTTAACTCCCCCACACACATTTCACATGGCTATTCAATTTTGTTTTTTCTTTTTTTATGGCATGACCAAATTTTGTATATGCTACTTGTAATTTTGACAGCATGTTATCTTAATCATATTCCATAAGGAATGAAAAGGAAAGACTGTTGTCAAGCTTATAGCAAATACAAATAGCCAAGTGAAGTGTTGGCATAATAAATTATCTTTAATTTATTGTTTATGTTATAAAGTGTGATGAATTAAAGTATTTGAAAAGAGAAAATGAAAATCTTGACATTTGGAAATCTATTTTAAAGATATAAATGATCAAAGATATAGATTTTATTATTAGCTTAACTCTATATGGTTGATAGTATACATAATATTCATACATACAATCCCATAATAGTGAAAAATGCGTTATAATTTACCAAATGTATGTTAAGGTCAGAGTAGTTAAGTTGATTCAATTAAACATAAAATATAGATAGCAAAGAAAGCCTTTCTGAGAAAAAGTAACTACAGTTACATCTATCTAATTGAAATTTTAAAATATTAAAATACTTTTTAACACAGTTTTCCAACAAGTGTCAGATTTGTTCAACTACATTTAAACTCCCATATGAATTTTTATACAATACGAGAATTTACAACCCAACTAAAGGTTAAACTCGCGAATATAGCTGTGGCACTCACAAACACGTAAGCTGTTGGCCTTAAAGACTACGAGTATTTGAAGTAGACAACTCATATCCTAAATACTAGTTAAAAATTTCTCATTAATAGTAATAAAAATATTTAACAGATAAGAATGCCACGACCTGGCAGTCTCAAAGATCCAGATATTGCTGAACTATTCAGCAAACATGATCCTGAGAAAATATTTGAAGACCTACGGGAAATTGGCCATGGGTCCTTTGGGGCAGTCTATTATGCCCGCTGCAATCTCACCAAAGAGATTGTGGCTATCAAGAAAATGTCCTACTTGGGCAAACAGAGTGAAGAAAAGTGGCAGGATATCCTGAAGGAAATCAAGTGAGAACTTAAGTGATACAATTAATTCAATGTAACAATTTTCAAAGTTTGACTCATCACTTTAAATAGTCATATTATCATTACCAATTTTTGGTATAAATCATACTAAAACAACATTGAATCTGATCAATGCTTCTGATCTGATAGATTAATGTATTTTCATAAAATAAAATTTATATTGCTGTTGGTTGCTTGGGTCATCATAAGTCATAACTTTTCAATGCATTATAATTTTATTGATTCACTTTTCAATTCATATTAACTAAATGCTATTACTGATAGAACCATTGTTTTTCTATAAAGGTTCTTGAAGCAGCTGGAGCACCCAAATACCATAGAATACAAGGGTTGCTACAAGAGGGAGCACACAGCATGGCTCGTTATGGAGTACTGTGTTGGTTCAGCATCAGATATCATTGAGGTAAGAATTTTACCATTTTTACTGTGTACATACACTAAATACATATACAGAGTCAAAATATAACACTGCAACAGTTCCAGACTATACAGTTAATAAATGTAATAGGCATAGAGATATGTTAACCCTTAACATAACTTAAAAACTTAAATTTAACATTCTAATTAGAATTCATATATTAAATTTTAAACCAGCCTTCTATTACAATCAGTGTAATAGAAATCTAAACAAATCCAGAGTACCAGCATGAAATCTCCACGCCCAAACAGAGTCAGCTCAGTGTATAATGCGTTATATCTGTCGTTTTACATTGAAATTTCCGTCGGAGACAATCTCACACAGTTTCAAGCAGAATATATTCGCGACTGACGGACGACACGTAATGTCAAAATCAATAGTCGTAGGTTCAGGTAGTTATTTTCCATTCGCGGGAGCCATCTTTCTTACTACTTTCTATTTTGTGACAGCAGATGCAACAGAACATTAAGAGAGGTAGCGGATTTTCCGCTCGCATTGCAGCGCCCGTCTGGGGAAGTAACCTCTACCTTACAGACCACAGTAAAATAACACTACCTTTTGGTGGTGTTGTGTTTCTGTCGCTGAGTAAGGTTCCTGGGCTCCATTGGCCTACCCCGTCGATTTGGTCAGGGTAGACAATGGCACGAGTGAATTTCTTTGCATCGCTAGCGTCTATAGGCTATGGTAGCCGCTTACCATCAAGCGGAACATACAATTATGCCTGATTGCCACCCTGTTAACATGAAAAAAACATACGCTTGTGCGCGACGAGTTGGAAACGGGTGCCGCGATCCGGGGGACTGCGGTCCTCAGAATGCGTGTTGGGTGACCCGTGCAGGAGTATTATCTGATTTTTATTGGGTAGGGCTTTGCTCATTTTATCGAGCCTCATTTTTTCATCTTATCGGCTGGGTGAAATGAGTAGAGAGGAGTCTTCAGATACCCCGATCGCGCTACTGCTCGGTGGTTCAGGGAGACGTAACGCCTTTTCTAAATATCAAAAAGTTATGCAGATCTACCGCATCCCCCAGAATATATTTTACTAGCCAATACTAAAGTTTTTTCAGATGAATTAAAAAAAAATAACAACAAATTTATTTTGTTCGTATTAATGTCCTTTTCCCGCGTAATATAATATCGCGGTTTCGAGTTCATAGAACGAAGTAATGTGTGTGTTTAGGGTTTCGAATACAACAAGGAACCCATATTATAGTTTCACTATGCCGACTTGTTAAAAAATTCGCAACTTGCCCCAAGAGAAAATTGGTACTAGAAAACTGACACTTGGCGTGCATATATGTATATAATATTAGTCACACTGTTAAATGCTACATAAAGTCCTTAAGAGAAAGTAAAAGTTATTCCTCACACATAAAGTGGAGATGATATATGGTTAATTATTCCTTGAAGAGGGGTGTCACTGGATAGGTCTTTTGAAAAATATTGGATCTTACTGACGGAAACCCAACATCTCCAAAAATTAATGTTATTTCACTGTGGTCTTATGTAAGGCAGAGGTTACCTCCCTAGACCAGAACATTCCTTGTTTGACAGTTAGACGTGAACATTATTGTAGCTGTATTGTGATTTGCCTAGTTTAATACCCTAATAGTAAAAATCTATCTAAGGAATAAGTACTATTTCACAGTAGTCTTGTGTAAAACCAGCGAGATTCAATTTGAGCAGACAATTCGGTATGCTATGCCCAATGATAGCACAGATCTTTCACTTACTTTTACTTTAACTGTATTTACCATGTCATATCATTTTACCAATAGGTAAAATTATTGATAAAAGCTGTTTGAAAATATCCTTACAACACATGTTAAAAATTTTGACACCACATATTTTTTACGAGAATATTGTTGATATTGATAATAGGACCATTAAACATGACCTAAAGATATAAGTTATCTTTATTGTAAAAAAAACTACATTTTGTGACGTATATAAAAGTTAGACATTTTGCTGGGCGGAGTGCTGCATAGCCTAAGCGTAGCCTCTCGGCGAGAATTTAGGCAACACTAAGGTTATGTCAATAGCTATGTCGTGCCGAGACAATATATGTCGAAGGATCGGTGCTCAAAGTTGTGCACGAATACGTCTACCTAGGGCAGGCAATCCAGCTCGGTAGACACAACTTCGAGAAAGAAGCCGAGATGAGGATTCGTTTGGATTGGGCAGCATTCGGCAAACTCCATCGAGTCTTTATAGTCGCCTAAGTCTATATATATAGTCGTTTTCAATCAGTGCGTCCTGCCTGACATGACATACAGTGCCGAGACATAGAACTGGTCCTTATATATCCCAGGGATGAAATTAAGTCCAATATAATTGAATGTTGTGCTTTTGTGCTAATAAGCATTTTACGTGGTTACTCATATAGCTACCCTCCGCTATTTCTATTTGTTAAGGGACCCCCTTTCTTTTTTCTTCCTAAAGCATTTAAAATAGGGTGATTGTAATGATGATTGATTTCTGGGAAGAAATACTTTATAAATCTTGTGAGCTTTTGAATCATCGTATTGAAGCGATTTCCTGTTATATTAGATTATTAGTAAACATGATAAATGGTTGAATTATTTTTATAAAGCGATGACAAATTATTTTATCATAATGTCAAATTTTTGTTAGTTCTGTTTTCATAGAACAAACCAATATGGAATTTGTTACGTTATGGATTTCGAATCGTCTTGGATATGGAAACTTGAACAGCGCCACTAAAATAAAATTTATATTTGACACGTATCTAGACTGAATATCAACTTTTCAAATTCGATAATGGTTCGTGCTTAGGGTAATGTTGCTAAGTACTTCCGATTGACTTTTAGCCCTTGCATTTTCTATACTCAATCAGACACGTTCGTCCAAAAGTCAGTTAATGTACTATTAAGGATAAGTACTTGTAACTTCTAACATAAATTAAGTAATAATACCGGGAGTAATGTGAATAATTTTGTTAACTATCTTCTGCCCTCGACTTTATCCACATTTACACATAAAGTATAGGGGATACTCTGATCTTTTGTATTTTTGTTATCCCTTCTGACAAATTCTTAATGTAACATTTCAAAAGTTCAAGTTAAGGGGTTGGGTAAATAACCTCGGATTTTTCCTTTCCTAAACAACAAATGTTCCTTGTAGGTACAGTTTGCGATATTATATTAGGTTATTAATGATGTAAAGAAAGAAAAGTTGTTATTAACCCTTAAAATTAAGTAAACTTGTCTAACCAGGACCCTACTTCAGCATTAACTGATGCGACGTTGTGTCGCACCAGCGTTGATATTCTGGCACGGCCTGTTAATAGTGAGTGACACATACATAGTATAAATTGGCAATAAAAATATATAGGTACACAATGAAACGAGTCACAACAAAATGGACATGTAGGCAATTTAGGAATATTTGTAAACAACATTTGTTGTATTAAGAATGCAAAATTAGCACAATTTCCAATTGGTGTTAGGTATTATCTTATCTAGTTATTATAATTTAATATATGACCATTCACTATATACATTTTTTCATTGTTTTGTTTTTTTATCAGTTATATAGATATAAATACCTACTAGACAAGAAAATCGTTGTTACCTAATATAAAGTTAGATACGATTATATTGATAATTTAAACTAAGAAACAATTTTCAAGAACCACTCATGCTGGGCGGGCAATATTTGGGTATTAAATGTTAACAGAGCATTGGGTCACGGGCCCTTTGAAGGCGGGGCTGTGGCCCAGGGGCCCCCACAAAACAGATGAAAAATCAAATTTCAGCGGATCCCCAGTTCCCACCCTTGATGAGATACAATTTGTGAGTGGTCCGGGCCAGATTTAGGGCCCCCACACCTCTAATCTATATCCGGTCCTGCATTCTTTGTTAGATATTTAATTAAACTGAGTCATTTAAAAATCAAGAAAATCTCCTACTTCTTACGACGGAAGACATTGGCAAGGCTTTTTGATTAATAGAACTCTTCATTTATAGGTTCACAAACGACCATTGCGTGAGGACGAAATAGCAGCGATATGCGAGGGCGTCGTCTGCGGCCTGGCGTACTTGCACAGCCTGGGCCGCATCCACAGGGATATTAAGGCGGGCAATATACTGCTCACCGAGAATGGCACGGTGAAGCTAGCAGACTTTGGCAGCGCCAGCATCAAGTGTCCTGCCAACAGTTTCGTGGGGACGCCGTACTGGATGGCGCCGGAAGTTATACTCGCGATGGATGAGGGACAATACGATGGGAAGGTGAGTGGCTCTGCTGTTCAATATACCTAGTCAGGTCATAAATTCTGTCACATGTTTAATATAAAATAATTGAAACAAGTTTATTAATATGTAACCATTTACATACCAAAATGAACTTAACAAAACATAGATTCTTATGACAATAAAGTTTATTCAAAATGACCTCCGTGATTTTGAATACAGGCCTTCAATCTGCGCGGCCAGTCGTCTATCGCAGCACGAACGAGGTCCATGTCAATATCGGCGGCTGCCTTAGTCTTGAGTGACTCCAAATTGGGATGAGGCTTTGAGCACGCCTTTTCCTCCATGTGTTGCCATATCTTGTAATCTAACGGACTCAAATCTGGACTGGAGGAGGGCCAGTCTTCGTGCCGGATGAAGTCGATTTCACGCGCCGCCAGCCAGTCTTGTGTGCTCTTCGCTCTATGAGCTAGCGCCGAATATTGTTGGAATACCCAGTACCTGTTATTAAACAGAAGCCTGTGCCTGTTATCTGAACATGGTATGAGAAACAGGTTCCACAAGGTTCGTCAGGACTGTATTTTGATACACAACTGCATTCGTTTTTTTTACACCTTTCTCACAACAATGTACCTCTGTTAAGCCCCAATAAGAAACACCCAACCATACCATAAGCGAGGATGGAAAATGACCTCGTTGGACACGCGGAATACGGTTGCTCGCTTCTTCACTACTGTGTGCGTACACCTTATCATTTTTTTTGTTGTAGCTCTCTTCTACTGTAATTTTTTTTTTATCTGAAAAAAGAATTTCCCGATATTTCTTTTTTCGCGTACCGCTTCAACAAAGCGCGGCATCTCTTCAGTCTCAGGTCCATCAGACGAGCCCTAAGTCTTCATTTAACACCCTTTTCACCGAGTTTCTGCTAAACCCCATCTGAAGGGCCAAGAGTTTCTTCTTACGTTTGGGAATTCTTTGAATTCGCGCCTTCACAGCTTTTATCACTGCTAACAGACCGAGGGCGACCACTTGACCTGTCATCTACACTAGAGTCTTCATTGTACCGTTTGATGGTACGATAAACGAATCTTTTGGTTATATTTTTTTTTTTCAGTATGTCAAAAATTTGAATTGGCGCGTAACCGCAACGACGGAACGCATTAACTGCAACACGGTCTTCTTTAAGCGTCCACTCCATATTTAAAAATGAGTAAAATTCTAAAAAGTGTACTTTTTTATTTTCATGAACAATTCGAATTCAATAAACTTTTTTGTGGCCAGCATTCTAAAAGAAAAGTTTTTGCTGTGTGACAATACTTATGACCTGACTGTGTATATATGTATATTATACATTAATTTTATATATATCGTGTCACGGTGTGCGTCATTGAAATACGGCTTAACTTACTCCGAAACGGCTCGACCAATTTTCGTGAAATTTTATATGCATATTCAGTAGGTCTGAGAATCGGACATCTATTTTTGATCCTCCTAAATGTTAAGGGTGGTCCAACCTTAATTTTTATTTTGGAGCATTTATTTTTGTTTTTATTTTTTTATGATACATCGCACAAAAAATCATACAACCCTAAATTTTCACCCTTCTACCAACAACCCCTATTTTTATATTGCAGTACGAAGTTCGCTGGGACAGCTAGTGTATATATACATATTAATTAAGTTTATTAAAGTTGAGTTCAAGCTGTCATTAAGGCCGCGTTATTTCATTTATAATTAAATGTGACTGTTGTTAAAATACTAGAGAAAAATAACCATTTGTCAAAATTTATACATTTACAGGTATTTGACGTAATATTAACTATAGCCAAATTTAACTATGGATGAAACAACGTAGGCTACGTTTATTATGTTTTAAGCAATAAACTGCTACATTTATAAAATAATGTAAGGAATTTATTTTATAGAAAAGAATACACACTGTCCTGATATCAGACAGATATTTTTGTCACTGATGTGAACATTAAACTACTATTTTTTTATTTAAAGTAATAGCTTTTACAACATCTATTCAAAATATGGTTCATAAATACAATTTCAAAAATTAAATATGAATTAATGTTTTAAAAATGTCTGTTGTTCAATCCTAAAATAACCTTTGTTACAATGTGTTATAAACCTATTCGAAAAAATCATCCCATTATTCAAATTATTAATGAATCTCTCAAATATTTCTTCATTATGAAATTTTAGATCATTATTAGCATTATGCCTAATTATTCAAATCATCACAGGACTATTTTTAACTATATAATATACTGCCAATATTGAATTACCATTTTACAGAGTAAATTATATCTGCTGAAATGTAAATTATGGTTGATTAATCCAAACACTTCATGCTAATGGAGCATCTTTTTTTATTTGTATTTATAATCATATTGGACGAAGAATTCATTATGAATCATTGAACTTAAAATTAACTTGAGTAGGAGTTATCATATTATTTTTATTGAAAGCAACAGCATTTATAGGTTATGTTTTACCTTGAGGACAAATATCAATGTGTTACAATTGTATTTCGTTGTAGGTGGACGTTTGGTCTCTCGGCATCACCTGCATCGAGCTGGCGGAGCGCAAACCGCCATACTTCAACATGAACGCCATGTCTGCCCTCTACCATATTGCGCAGAATGACTCGCCAACATTGCAAGTAAGCACATCTCGCTTATCATGTTTATATTATGTTTGTTAAACGAAAAACGCAGTTCCAGAGGCAAATAAGAAGCTTGCCCGCACCCTAACCAGACTTAATAGGGACAAACTCCGCATAATTATAGGAACCCTAATTGGTCATTGTGCCCTAAACAAACACCTATATAAAATAGGAGTAACAGACAGCACCATATGCAGAGGATTTATGGAGGCAGAAGAAACGCCACAGCATGTCATCATGGAGTGCAGGAGTGTGGCCGACCAGCGGGCATGACTTCTCCAGTCGCCAGTATCGCTTCCGTAGGCTTGCAGCAGTCTGCCAAGGCTGCTTTCCTTCTTGGCTATCTTAGGCTGGCTGGAGTAAACGGGAATGTTTCGAGACACGCACAATGCAGCAATGATTAGGACTAAGTGCGGAAACCGCCCTGAAAAACTAAACTAAAAATTATGTTTGTTACTCAATCACGCAAAAACTACTCAACGGATTTGGATGAAATTCAGAAAGCGTATATTTTATGGTCTAGATTGAGACATAGGCTATTTTTTATTCCGGAAAAATTACAGTTTCCTGTGGGATTCTAAAAAAATAAAGTTAACGCGAACAAAGTCGCAGGCGGCCGCTAGTAATGTTATAAATGTGAAAGTTTGTATGTTGTTTTTCAATCACGCGAAAACGGTGTAACGGATTTGCACGGAATTTTACACACAGGCAGGTTTTAACCTGGAAAGAGACATAAAATGCATTTTATCACGGAAAAGTATTAAGTTCCTGAGTTTCAAAAAACTACAGTTAACACGAACGTAGATGTGGGCGGCCACTAGTATATCTATATATACAGGGTGAAATTGAATGTTTTTATGAAACTTCGTGGGAATGTTGGGTTACGTATATAGAGTATCTCTGAATTTTTTCGGATTTTTTAAAAAATGATTTAAAATAAAAATTTGTTTTTTTTTGTTATATTTTAAGTCCTTTCCTCCTTTTGGGTACTAAATAATTATTCTTTTAAAACATGCATACAGAGTAAGTAAAAAACAAGTAATAAGCACTACTAAAAAAGACGTAAAAACAGGAGACGGGCGGCCGGGAGCAATGACCGCTCCCGCCGTTGAATACCTTCCTGCCTACCTATCTAGGTATGCGCGGTGCACAGCGCAGTCTCAAGCGCGCGTGCGTATCTTTTAAATTTGTGACAAGACAAGATTTGCAAATAATGCCTTGATTAGTTCTTGTTCTGTGCCCTCAATATAAGAATTTGGATATGGTGTGCTGTTATTGCGAGTGTCACGGAATACTCAGCAGAGCCACAAGGCTTTACGAAAGTAGGTTTGGTGATTTATTGGGAAGTTATAGAGAAAAAAAATAATAGGTACATCGGTCTCGTAAGTACTTTTGAATACCTGGTAATAAATTACATTCTGACCCAAGTATTGAACTGCAATAAGTATTTCTTTTTGTTTAACTTTTGCCTATTTCCAATCGTGACAAAATTATTATTAACTTTTTAAGTTTTTCTCTGCTTAAGAGAAGATGACATTTGTGCTTATTATTTCAATTTCAATAAAGGCATCTAAGACGATTTTATTGTATTGTGTGGAATCAAACGAGTCAGCTGAGCTCTGTGTACGTACCTACTCACTCAACGGCTGGCGGGCGCGGTCGGTCGTTGACCCGCGGTGGAATTTTACTGTTTTTCCGTTTTTTAGAAGTGCTTATTTATTAGTTGTTTTTCACTGGATATGTAAGCATGTTTCTTTAATATGAATAACTACTCAAAAGGAGGAAAGGACAAAAAAATACACAAATTATAAATAAATACATGAAAAAAAATACTTCAAAAAAATCCGAAAAAAATCAGGCATACTCTATACTCGTAACCCAACAATCTCACGAAGTTTCATTAAAACATTCAATTTCACCCTATATATAAAAATAAATTGCTGTTCATTAGTCTCTAAACATTAACTAAAACACGAGAACGGCTGGGTTGATTTTGAAATGTTTCTCATAGTCCAGGGAAGGTTTAAACGGTGAGAAAATATGAAGAAATTGCGAGGAAGATAGTAAAAACACAATTTCATTTAATTACCATAATTATAAACTGTTTTATCTATATTCCTGTTAAATATTGGACATTCGTCGTTTATCATTTCTTCCAAATTATTGTAAGCAGTACGCTGGGTCAGCTAATAAATAAATAAAATAAAAATAGCCTTTATTGTCTGTTGTACATGTTAAAAGTAACTTAACTTAAAACTTTTAGTTTGATCGCTGATATCGGCACGTGTACAGACAGGTTGTCTTTGGACATAGGCCTCCTCTAAATTGGCCCATTGGTTCCTATCTGTGGCTGCTCGTCGCCAACTCTTGGGTAGATCGTCTTCCCATCTTTTGTGTTGTCTACCTCTACTACGGTTACCATCTCGGGGGTACCACTCAATAATATCTTTTGTCCACTTGTTCCTCTTCGACCTCATGATATGTCCAGTCCATCTCCACTTCAATGTTCTAACTTTTCTGGTTACATCTACCACTGTCGTCTTTTTTCTTATGACAGAGAGACGAACTTTGTCTTTTAGTTTGACACCTACCATACTTCTTTCGATTCCTTGTTGGCATACTTTTAACCGTTGTGTTGTATGTTTTGAATAGTACCATGTTTGGCATCCCTAGGTAAGTACTGGAAGTATGCAAGTGTCAAAGACTTTCTTTTTGTGTAGGCTAGGCATATCATTGTTTTTCATTATTTGTTTCAGGGACCAGTATCATGACCATGTGTTATTAGTTCTATGCTGTAATTCTTTTTGCACTTGTAGTTCTGTTGCTATCACTTGTTCCAAATATATACATTCATCAACGTATTCAATTAGTTCATTTTTTATGAGAATATTTATTTTGGAATCATTGGTCATGACCTTGGTCTTTGTCAGGTTCATGGTTAACCCTGCTTTCTCACTTTCCTCCGCAAGTTTTATCAGCATGTGTTGAAGCACTGCTGGACATTCCGCAAACAATACAAGATCATCAGCAAACCGTAGATGTTGTAATTTTGATGTTTATTCCTAGTTCTTCCCAATCTATGTTTCTGAATATTTCCTCTAAAACTGCAGAAAACAGTGTAGGAGACAGATAGGTCCCCCTGTCTTACTCCCTTCTCCTTTCTAAACTCTTCTCCAATTTTCTCTAACTGAACTTTTGACGTACTTCTTCCATATATTTGCGAAATTATTCTTATGTATTTATGGTTAACCCCCTGTTTGTGGAGTGCTCTATATAGGAAATTGTGATCTAACGAGTCGAATGCCTTGCTATAATCAACGAAACGGGTCAGCTAGTATTAGATAAAAAAGGATTCACACGTTTTTCTCTGCCTACTCTGCTACTGACAGTTCCTGAAGATGTGAGTGTGATTTAAATTTGTCAAGAAGTACTCCATCCATTACCTAATTTAAGATCGAAACCCTGCTTTCTGATCCCAAAGGTTCTTTATTCGAAACTTGATAAGGGAATTTATTTGTATATCTATTTCAGAAATTTACTAGCATATTTCGATACTAAATATTTTTTATTGTAATTTTTCTCTATTTCTCTGAATAATCTAAGAAAATTGAAAATAAGATTGACAGAATCAGCAATATAGTTCTGAAGTTTTGGCGTAACCAAGGGAGCAATTGATTCATTTATATACCTTTATTTATATAGATAAATAACTTTATTTTTATTTCAATTTATTTATTAATTTGCATACATTAAAAACATCATGAGGAGCTCGATGGCCAGTCGTTAGCGCGTTCGGTTGCGGTCGTTGAAGTTGAGCAACTTTTTTGGATTGGATGGGTGACCAAAAATTTACTATCTCGAACTCTTCCGTGCTTCGGAAGGCACGTTAAGCCGTTGGTCCCGGCTGCATCTGCAGTCGTTAGCACCCACCAACCCGCACTGGACCCGCGTGGTGGGTCATGACCCAATCTCCCTAATCCAACCATAGGGAAAGCCTGTGCCCCAGCAGTACCAGCCAGCAGCAGACATTAAAAGGCTGATGATGATGATGAAAAACATCAGTATATCACAAAAACCTTAAAGATTTATCTGTGCTTCAGAGCCGCTCCACAGCCAGTCACGCCAAACAGCCTGCCTGGTTTGCTAAATAATATTTTTTAACATTTTAACAAGGGAGCTAGAAGATTTTATTTTATTTTGAATATCCTCTGGTAGTTAAATGGTGAATAAGGGTCACAAATACTACTTAAACCATGCAATCGTTTCCTATCCACCAGGCGCCAGAATGGACAGACACATTCCGCTATTTCGTAGAAGCTTGCCTCCAGAAGAACCCTCAAGATCGACCGTCGTCGACGAAACTCCTATCGCATCACTTCATCACGCGGTCTCGCTCGCCCAACTCGTTAGTCGATCTCATACAAAGGACGAAAGCTGCAGTCAGAGATCTGGACAACTTGAACTATAGGAAAATGAAGAAGATCTTGATGGTCGACGCTGACAATGAAAGTGCTATTGGTGAGTTGAAACTTTTGTTACTACAAAAATGCGACATTGATTGTTCTCGATTTTGGCATGATTCTCTAAAATTAAAACTAAATTTAAGATCAGTCTCTCCTTTTCATTCTGTATATAGAATGGCAAAGATAGACTGTTGTAAAATTTAGGTTTAGATAATCGTGCCAGAATCGACACCAATGTACAGTTTGATTCTTTTTACTTTCAAATGTAGTCTGTAATATCCATCAAATCCTTTGTATAATTTAACTGTCTGTCAATTAAGTGGCAGTATAACTAAAATGTTATATTTAAATTATTGGTGATCTGCTAATAAACTGCTTGTCGCTACAGAGTAGCTCGAGGGCGTACTTTATATCGTATAGCGTATCGTAAACTAAGTCGTGCCGTGTCTTTCTCTATGGCATTACAAACTATAACTAAGAGTAGGATGGATAACGATGACGATCGCATTAAATCGAGATCTACGATCAACTTTTTATATTGAAATTTTGTTCAATATATTCTTTATCCTACAATCTAATATATAAAATTCTCGTGTTTCGGTGTGCGTAACCGAACTATTCCGAAACGGCTCGACCGATTTTCGTGAAATAATAGATGCATATTCAGTAGGTCTGAGAATCGGACAACATCTATTTTTCATCCCCTTAAATATTAAGTGTGGTCCACCCTTTAATTTTTTTGAAGTTATACTTCTTTAGGCGCGTTATGAAAAAAATATGAGAGTGAAATTTTAAGATGCGCATCACTGTAACACAAAAAATTAACAGCATGAAGTTGGTCGCTTTAGCGTAGCGACCAACTTCATGCTGTTACTTTTGTGTTTACCGCACATTAAGAAAATCTACCAACAAAATAGAAATAGAATCTCTATTTTGTGGGTGCTAACGACTGCATTGTGAAGGCCTATCAAAAGTATTTATTAATCTGGAACAACGGAACCAAAGCGCGATTCAGGAGACTACAGCGCCATCTCTTGACCATTGGTGTAGTAGAACCAAAAACCACATCTTTACTTTTTGTAATAAAGTAACAGTTATAGGTATTCATATTTATAATATTTATCCACATGTTTCTAGTTTGTATATTCGGAATACGTGTTTGAGTTTCATACAAGTGCAAATCACATATGTTCTAATAAATTATAATATTCAGTAGCGATTTTAATTGAATATTTTGATTATTTATTTATTTTTTCAAATTAAAACTGAACTTTATTCACTGTGTCCTTTTCCAGACTTTTTATTAATTTATTGTAATTAATTATTTGCATGCAATTAAAAACTAATTTTAAACGATGCCAAAGAAGGATAACTTCTCACGCGCCTACATAAGTACACGCACCCATTTTTTTGACAAAAGCTTTTGCTTTTATTTTTTTATGATACATCGTACAAAAATACAACCCTAAATTTTCACCCCTCTACCACCAACCCCTATTTTTTATGGCGGTACGAAGTTCGCTGGGACAGCTAGTGTTAATATAAATCCTTGATTATTAGCTTTTTGTTCATTAAAGCTAGCTTATCATCATTTATAATTAAATAAACTAATTCAGGTGACAGCGAGGAGACCACAGAGGAGCGTTCTGGTGGCGACTCTTCAAAGTCCAATTCGGCGACTTCGGAACACAGCGCGGCCGGCGCTTCCAGCCAAAGCTCTTCGTCTGGCAGTCTTCGTAGGCGCCCGCATCCGGTCAGTATAATATCCTTAATTTAATACTAAAAGCTTCTTGGAACATAAATAAAACAGTTTTTACGGGATATATGCACTGATTTTATTTATTTAATGACGATTCGTATCCTTTTCAGGAGTGCACCATGGAATAATATTTTTCTTTACTTTGTCGAGCTACCTCCGAAAGACTTTTATTGAGCGTTCGGACTTGAAAAGGGAAATACGTCAATAAATAAATAAATTCATTGCATATAACCCTTAAAAACTGTTCTTAGAACCTATTAATTATGACCATACATATAACGAATAAATTATCGCGCAAATGCGAGCAAAGTGGGCGGGGGGGTGGCGGTTTGATGTATTAGGATGAAACCTTTAAAGTATTTTATGAAAATTTGCTTTACGTAAATGGAGGAAAAATACAATGATTCAAGGTTACGGAATAATATTTATTTCAAATCAACAATAATCAGTCTCAAAAGCACGATTTTTTATTACAGAATTAGTTTCACTTATGAACGGAATAGTAACATTAGTGTTACTAATTAAGTTTAAGCAAGCATTAGTATTCAGTAATTAAGTTGATGAAATGCCGGGATTAAGAGAGTTTCGAGAAAAGGGTTGAAAAGTAGTCAGATTATTTAAGAAGTCGCCCTCAATTTAATTACTAATACTATAAAGAGTAAACTGAAAGACGGCAACATCGCGGTTCGCAGCGCTTGCCATGCCAATTTTCTACAAGTTTGGGCTTCTGTGCCGCAGTTTTCGTACCTACCTACCGAGCCCGGTGGATGTCTAAAAAGGTTTGCAATCTCTAATATAAATACCTGTTCCTGCTCACACACAACCAACTTTCTAGCGCGAGTGCTGTTTCTTAGGTACCATTATGTAATTTTGTAAAAATATCTTGTAGAGGTTCGTAAACCGATCAATGGGCTCTGATTACATTTGACACGGGAGAAGACGCAAATTTTCGGGATGATAGAACTGTCGCCAATCTGGCAAATGAACAATAGAAGGAGAGTATGATGAAAAAAAAATATAATTATTTCAATTTAAATTTCAGCTCAATGCCAATCATCATAGCCAGCACCAACAGCAGCAACAATACCAGCACCACAATCATCAACACTCGACGCATCCTTCTAGGTGAGTTTTATCATTAATCTTATTACTCTGTCATACAGATCATTATGGTTATGTTGTAGCATGAATTAAGTTTAGTTTTGATAATATAAACAGCTTGTGTAAATATACTTCGTAGAATTAGTGGGCATGCCGTAGTAACAATGCAGCATAAAAGCAGAATGGTAGATGCCTTTTATAAGCGCTAGAGAAGATTTGACCCTATTTACGTATATATGTCGAAGGCAATTTGTATGATTCCGCATTTTACAAATCGGCTTCGTCGGTTTAAAAACGCTCGCTGTTCTATATATGCCGAAGTAAAAATGTAAATTGTCTTGTCATCTCTCATCTATTAGACAAGTTCGTCCGTCCGTCTGTCTGTGGTGCTGTTTCAGCGGCCAAACCGTAAGAGATAGGAATGTTTAAGTTATAAGTTAAGAATAGGCTGATAAGACTACAAACCGGATTTGAGTAACGTAGCACTTCCGGTTTTCGAGAAATCACGAATTTCAAACGAAACCACAAAAAATCTCCGACGTTCTCAATTAATTAAATACATTTTTTTTTAATCAGGTTTTGGTGAACATTTGGTTCACTGGTTTGCTAGTTTTATATAATATGCTACAACATTTGCAATTACAATTTGCCTGCGACATACACATTACACTGTGGCTGAAATATTATGTATGTTTTTAGATTTTTTTACAAATGCCCTGGCTATTGTGTAACATGATCATCGTAACGCGATGTATCATTAACATAAATTATGTACATAATGGTGAAAGACAAAAAATATATTTTAATTTTCGCATTTTCTGGTACATTGTCCAAAAAAATCTTTCATACAGACCCTTTCCTAAAAAATTACAAACAAAAGAACAATCAATTAATATTCCTCTTTATACATGTGGCAAATGATTTGATTACATCCATTTTTATCATCATTGTAGATAGTTTTTTCTGTCATTATGATTGCGTGTATGTCTATCAGTTAACGCTATCTGTTTTATCTTTTTCAATAAATTTGTGTCATTCATAATTATTTTTTGTCACATTTTATCAAAACAACAATGTTTCCATTGTTTATATACATACTAGTAACCCAAACTAGCTTCTCTTCGGTGATCGGTCTTCGGTCGTTCCTTTTCGGGCATATATTATACATTAAACCTTCCTCTTAAACCAATCTATCTATTGCTGAACTGCATTACAAAAAATTGAGTAGCTTAAATGGTTTAAGCATATAGACAGCAGGACTACTTATTTTTCTACTTGTAAAGAGAAGTCTGTGTGTTGTCATTTGTGAATAGTCTACCACTAAATCATCCCTGTAGTTACATTATTTTATGTATGTAAGTGTTCATTTGTAAATAGTTTCAACATTGCACCTTCACATACATAGCTTATCGCTAGTAGTGGCTTTTGTATGCACCACAGGCACCGCTATACATTTCAGAGGTCGCAAGCGCTGGTTATACTCATGTTGCTGTTTCGTACGCAGAGAGAGAGAGAGCGAGAGCCCTCTGCCTCCCTCGCACGACGACTACGTGAATCGCGACGCTTTACGGGACTACGCGAATAGAGACTCCTTGTGCGACGACTATGGGGACGACTACGCCAATAGGGACGCGATTCGTGAAGCGCAGCGGGAAAGAGAGAGGGAGAGACAGGCGAATGAGTATAGGGAATATGTGAACGCACCGCCCGCTTGGCAGCAAGATGGCGGCGATGACAATAGGAATACGCAGCGGCGGCAAACCGCCAGGAGTGAGTGTTAGTTTCCATTTGTTATACTTTACTTTTATTAATACTCGACCAAGGGCGAAACACGAGAGAAAGAGGATAGGAGACAGTCAAATGATCAGTGGATACGCGACTGGTTTGGCACCAAGGCGGCACTGTCGAGAAGTAAGTGGTAGTCTCACGTTGTTGTCTGTTTTTTATGAATACTCGAAAAGGATGCAAAATGAAAGAGAGAGAGGGACAGGTGAATGAGTTTAGGAAATATGTGAACTCACCGCCCGCTTGGCAGCATGATGGCGGCGGTGACAATAAGAATATGCAGCGGCGGCAAACCGCCAGGAGTCGATGTCAGTTCCAATTTGTTATGTCTACTTTATGAATACTCTAATAGGGACGAAAAACCGGAGAAAGAGAATGAGAGGCAGGCGAATTATTAGTGAAAGACTATTTTGGCAACAAGGCAACGGCGACAAGAAGTAAGTAGTATTATCAATTTCTTATCTGTTTTTTGTGAATACTCGAGTAGCGACGAAAAACGGGAGAAAGAGAGGGAGATGCAGACAAGGTTACGCCGCATGGCAATAGAGCGGCGGTGACGATAATGAAGTAAGCAGTCGTTTCTGCTTGTGTTGTGGTATTCTATCACAAAGAACGTAACCGTCGCGCTCATGCAGAGTCGGTTCATGCCGGCACCTATTCGTGCTTGCTATTTGTAAACTTGAGATCAGTCATGTCCAGTGGCGGATTAAACGTTGGTGTTTCCAACTTTAATCAGAGATCATGTACCATCGACAAGGTTGTTTTAAGGCGTAAGTATGAGTCAATCCCATCCGTTAAATTTAACTTTTGTTATAAATTGTAACAGATTGAGGTTGTTTGGCAAAAATACTTACTAGCCCAATTAATTTTATGCTGTATTATATTTTTTTCTTCATTTTGCAATTCCGCCCGCGTCCCCTTTGTACCCTCGCGCCCCAAGACACATGCCTAGTTTGCCTTAAGGACTATCCTTACTATTCCGCCTCGAGTCATGTCCTTTTCATTCCTTATAAATCATAATAAGGACAGACTGTTTACAGGTTGACAAATAGCAAATACGAATAGCCAAGTACAGTGCTGGCATCAGAACAAAGCGTCGTATTTGCCACGCACATATTGACGTTACGTTTACAGGCAAGCAGTTTCAAGCAATGTTTATTTGTCAAGAATGGCGCGAGACGTCCTCTTGGCTACTTTCTATTTTGTTACTATTCTGATTATACATCGACTGTAAATGGCACTAGCGGAAGTGAAATTAATGTTTAGGTATATAAAAAAACAGTATAGACTTTATATCCAAAATAAAAATATTACTACATACAAGAGTGAGTCAATGAATGATGAAATTCATAACACTTCTACCCTTAGTACAGTTATATTGAAACATGCCGTTATTTCATTAACAGCGTTTTATAACGTAAGAACTGCATTGGTATTGGTCGCGGCAAAGTGCTTGAGCAAAACCACAGCTAAAGAAGCTTGCGCAGTGGACGTTCTTATATGTAAAATTGATACTGCTCAGGCTTCCAGGTTGTTGCTCAAGAAGTTTGCCGGGATGAAATCTACAAGTAAAATGTACATCGATAGTTTTTTTTATAAATGAGGAGTTAGTGAACAATACGGTATAATTACATAAATTCAATTTTACACAAGCTGTTAACGCCATCTATCGTAAGCTTGCGAAAACACATTTACCTTATCCCTTCCTCTAAACTCACCTGTTGTCGACTTCGTCCGCGGCGCTGCCATCGCTGCAATTCGAACCAACGGACGAAAAAAGGGCAACGGCCTGTGTGTGCTCTGATCGCCGAGAGGAGACACCAAGCAACTCCCACGACGAGAAAAAACCGCGCTCCGGAGACGCTTTTCGCCTACACATATTTCCGCCCCGGGGCCCGCGAACATCCCGCGAACATTAGTGTAAAAAAGAAATAGTGGCGCGCCACAGGCGAACATTTCCAGGACAGGAAGAACAGGCGTCAAGGAACCAGCCCAACAAACCAACAGGTACCCCCTTTCCCACAGTTTCCCTCTAGTTTTTGTGTTTTCTTCTTGTATATAATCGCACATCCGCGCCGGGAATTTGTTTTGTTTTGTGGCGTGACCATTATTTAGTGGTCCTTCAGCCGCATTCATCCACCCGCCCTTACTGGTATTTACCCAGTAAGAGTATTTATCCGCTCCAATATTGTACATATTATATATATTATCGCTTATTTTTCGTATTATAAGCCCGCAACGCATTTTCGTTCTCATAAAACGAAAGCACGGTGTCGTGGCTCGCTCATATATATATCTACCGCCCCATTAGAATAAAATTATTCATCTAATAGGAGAACAATACAAATTATTATAACACCCATATGTATTTATATAATTAATTAAAGGTTCCAGTAAATACTTAACCATTATAAGTATACCTACATTTCAAAGTACCTACATATTTGATATTTGTCACATTTATTTACCCGTGATTGGATATTTTATAAAGGTGCATAGAATAAAAACAACAACGCTTACATATTTAATTACTTACGCATTTGTCATTTGTTTGCATTCATAATGGACCCGAAAAAGGATTCGCCTAGTACGCAAAATCAAAAATTACTTATGTTGGAAGCTAAGCGTAATGCCTTATTTGAATGCATGCAAGAGATTTATGACTTGTCAAATACACTAGGATCCGGTAATCAAGGCGTGGAAATTTTCCTCGATGCTAGTAGTAACATTGACACATTACGTTCTGAATTTAAAAACTTATTAGATGAGTACAACAGGTGTTTACTAAAAGAGAAACCGAACTTTGCAATAGATTACAAAAGCTTTGTCGCATTCGAACGACTATACGGCCGGGTTAAGAGATTGGTGACCATTCATAGCCGCGATCTGCTTGCCGAGAAGAAGAGTGAAGATGCACCGCGTAAAACGCGTCCCTCCTTACCACCGTTAGAACTCGTGTCGTTTGACGGAGACATACGCAAGTGGCCTCTGTTCTTCGCTAGTTATAAGTCTACTGTTCACGAAAACCCATCGCTTTCAGACGCTGAGAAACTTTATTATTTGTTAGGTAAAATTTCGGGTAAAGCTCAAACCGCTTGCGCCGGGATTACCCCCTGCGCAGAAAATTATGATTTAATTATTCAAACGCTAGTAGAAAAGTATGAGGACAAGCGTACTTTAGTCAGTTCACATATAAACAATTTATTAGATTTTAAACCCATACAAAGCGCATCGGTTGTAAATTACGATGCCTTTCTTGAAAATTTCGTAAATTCAGTCCGCGCACTCCAAAATATCAAGGTAAACGACCTTAGCGATATTATTGTTTTGCAGTTGGCGTTGAGAAAATTAGACACTGAGACAGTACGTAATTTCGAACAAAAAACCGATTCTTCCAAACTACCTACATTCAATGATTTAGTAAATTTTATGCAAAATCAGTCAAAAATATTAACTCGTACGGCAGTAGCCACCTACACCGCCACCTGTTCGAAACAAACAATTGGAAATATTCGCTCGCGCTCTAATATTAAGAATAATAATAATTCGCCGCCAAACTATCAATCATATATTGTTAATTCTGTTGTGAACAGCGCCCGCGGTTCTCCGGCCTCCAAATGCATGTGTAGTAATTTCACACATCAACATTTATTTAAATGTTCAAACTTTAATAAATTATCTCCTTTGGAACGTTTTAAAGTGGCTAAAGATTTAAACGCATGTATAAACTGTCTTAGTACAGTACACAAAGTTTCGGCTTGTAATTCAAGTATGTGTTGCCGTGTGTGCAAATCGAAACATCACACACTATTGCATTTTTCCAACATAACAACGAATCCAGGCGCACCGGTGACGTCAGCCGACACAGCTGCATCGCTCACGCGCACACAGCCTACGTCGTTGACTAATACAGACGTAACGCTATGCGCTACGTCTAGTGATTCATTACATCGCTCCAGTAAGACACCGCGTGACTGTTTCGCTGATACTACGCAATGCACACCGCACACAACTATATTATTAGCGACCGCGCAAGTTTATTCTTATGACTTGTCTCATAACAAACACACCGTTCGTGTTCTGTTGGACACCGCTTCGCAAAGCCATTTTATAACTAAGCAATGTTGCGAGCGTTTAGGTATACAAACTAACGAAATAAAGCGAACGTTAATCAAAGGTTTTGGAGGTTCCGAGAATATCGTAAATAATTCCGCTAACTTTAAATTTTCTTCTCGGTTTAATGCAAATATAAATTTTAATGTAAATTGTTTAATTGTTGAGAAAATCACTGAAAATTTACCTTCCGCTGTGGTTGACAAATCTTCGTTGCCACATTTTCTCAACTTGCCATTGGCAGACGAATCATTTTCGATACCTGACAAAATAGATGTTTTGATAGGCGCCTCGTTGTTTCCGCATTTATTATTAGCCGATGTACTCCACCACAACGGCTCGGCGCCCCCCGCGATTAATACAGTGTTGGGTTATATTATTATGGGTTCCGTACCCACCGCTTACCACCGCGCCGACGCGTCGTCACCGCTCACCTCGTGTTGTGCTATCACCGCTCCCGAATCTATAGAAATGACTTTAAAAAGGTTCTGGGAATTAGAAGAAGTACCTTCGCCGTCCATTCAACGTCCGGATGACGTTGAATGTGAAGAATTTTATTGTTCCACCACTGTAAGGGATCCTACCAGTGGCCGATACGTCGTGGCGTTACCTTTTCGTGAGGACGCTTATTCCCTCGGGAATTCCGAGTTCATCGCTCGCAAGCGATTTTTGTGTTTAGAGCGCAAGTTAGAAGCGTCTCCCAAATTGCGCACCGCTTATGATGCCGCTATCAATGAGTATATTGATAAACAATATTTATCTCCCGCTCGCGCGGAAGACCCCACTCTTCCGTCGTATATTATTCCGCACCACGGCGTAGCCCGTGATGACAAACCGCTGCGACCCGTGTTAGACGCGAGCTGTAAAACGTCGACTAATATTTCGCTCAACGATATTCTGCACGGTGGCCCTAATCTACAGGGCGAATTATTTCAAATTATTTTAAATTTTCGTCTACATGCTATAGCTATGAGTGCGGACTGTCGACAAATGTTTTTACAAATAATAATACGCGATTGCGATCGTCGCTTTCTAAAAATATTTTATCGATTTAATCCGCAAGAGCCTCTGATGCTTTATGAATTTAATCGAGTTTGTTTTGGTCTCAAGTCAAGCCCGTTTCACGCATTACGCTGCGTTCGTCAGTTAATTAGCGACCATGGGGATAAGTACCCCCTCGCGCGAGATATAGCTTCTCGGTCGTTGTATATGGACGACTTGGCCTACTCAAGCCCCAGTAGCGAACAAGCCATTGCGGCCAGTAAACAGCTGATCGATATGTTCAAGGAAGCTCAATGGGACTTAGTAAAATGGAACAGCAATTCAAATGCTGTACTAGACACCATTCCTGATACTCACAAGCTCACCACCGCCGTTGAGTTTGACAAGCACGCGCCTTCTAAAATACTTGGTCTATATTGGTGTAGGGACTCTGATGAATTCTATTTTAATGTATCGGTCCCCACCGATAACACTTGTACCAAAAGATCAATTTTATCCACCGTGGCGAGGTTGTGGGATATCACCGGTTTTATCGCACCGACTGTGTTGTACGCGAAACTTATCATAAAGCGCTTATGGCAACTAGGAGTCGATTGGGACGAAGCTCCCCCTTCGGAATTGGTCAAACAGTGGTTACAGTTCCGTTCCGAGCTTCTAGCTTTAAACGATATTCGCATCCCGCGTCACGTCGGCGTCGCTGGCAATTGCGTCATTTCCTTAATAGGATTTTCAGACGCAAGTGAAAGCGCGTATGGTGGTGTAGTGTACCTACGCGTAGAAACTAACAGAGGTATCACAGTACGGTTGGTCTGCGCGAAGTCTAAGGTCGCACCAACTACCCCTCATACTATCGCTAGATTGGAGCTCTGTGGGATTGTGCTTCTCGCAAAATTAATGCGTACGGTCTTAAATAATTATGCCGCCACATTAAATATAAATATTTTCGCTTTTACCGATTCTAAGGTAGCGCTTTACTGGATAAAGAGTTTACCCCATCGTTGGCAGACATTCGTCGCAAATCGTGTCGTCAAAGTGACCGAAAATATTCCTGCCGAAAATTTCCATCACGTCGCCGGGTCCGAAAACCCCGCTGATTGTTTATCGCGTGGCCTAACGCCACAGAAACTAGTGAAGCATCCCCTCTGGTTTCATGGTCCACCGTGGCTATTGTCCGATTGTTCACTTTGGCCATTCAACGATGGAGATTTTCTAACTTCCGTCTCCGAAGTGCCGGAACAGAAGTTATGTGTTTATACCGCTACCGCCCCCGCTAGGGAGTCTGTAATTTACGCTCTTGCTCTTCGCAAATCATCATGGAGCAAACTCCTCCGTATAACAGTTTATATTTTTCGATTCGCGAGAAAGTTGCAACGCCGCGCATCCGCAACTATTACGGCGGCCGATTTGAGTTTCGCCGAAGTTCAAATTATTAAAGTGTTACAGCACGTGTATTTCGCTGACGAGATTTCAAAGCTTAAGAGTGCTGAACCTTGTTCACCCGCATTTAATAAACTTCACCCGTTCATTGAGAACGATGTAATTCGAGTAGGTGGTCGGCTTTCAAATTCTGCCCTTAAGTACGCTCAAAAATATCCATTTATATTACCGCGACACGATCATATAGTGCATTTAATCGTAGATTATTATCATCGTACATACCTGCATGCTGGGCCCGAACTGCTTATGTCTTTGCTCAGACAAAGATATTGGATCATGTCCGCCCGCCGCATTGTACGCCAGCGCATACATAAATGTAATCTTTGCTTCCGCGCCAAACCGCGACCTACCCTTCCATTAATGGCAGATTTGCCCGATTTCCGCGTTCGTCCCGTTATAAAGCCGTTCACGCATACGGGATGTGACTACGCCGGCCCCATCTCGTATACGCCAGTCCGCCGTAGAGGTGTTCGATCCGAAAAGGCATATATATGCGTGTTCACTTGCCTCACGACTCGCGCTGTTCATATTGAATTGGTAACCGACCTAAGCACTCCTACCTTTCTCGCAGCTTTTAAAAGGTTTTTATCTCGTCGCGGTCCCGTGAAATGCATGTACTCTGATAATGGTACGAATTTTGTCGGCGCGAATTCATATTTGAGAGATTTTTATCGATTTTTACGCAATCAAACCTCATATTTCGAAGATTTCTTTTCGGGGAATCAAATAGAATGGAGGTTCAACCCCCCTTCCGCTAGTCATTTTGGTGGATGTTGGGAGAGCATGGTGAAAGTGATAAAGAATCACCTTTATAAGGTAATAGGACAGCAACTCCTTTCTTATGAGGAATTGCTTACGGTTTTAACACAGATAGAATGTTTACTAAATTCGCGTCCACTTACCGTGTTAAGCTCGGATCCTTCGGAGCCTACGGCTTTGACTCCCAGCCATTTTTTAAATAATTTCCCTTTACCGTCACTACCCGCACCTGAGGTTACAGATAACGTTTCTCTACTTCAGAGACATTCTTTATTAGACAAGTTGGTACAGTCGTTCTGGAAGCGATGGAGTGTAGAATATCTCCACAGCCTTCAAGTTAGACAGAAGTGGAATACGCTCTCCGCTCCTATCACCCTCGGCGTGATAGTGGTCATAATAGTAGATAATGCGCCACCTCTCTCTTGGCCTCTGGCAGTAGTAGAAAAAATTCACCCTTCTAAGGATGGTATCGTGCGCGTAGCTACTGTCAGAACCCCTCGAGGAACGTATACACGCCCGGTTGTTCGTTTATGTCCTTTACCAACTCAATAACATATTTATCACAACTATACTTTACACTAAAATTAGAATAATAATTTAAGATTAAGTATAATATGTAGTTTAATGTATGTAAGTATATATATTTTAGTCAATTAGTAAATTCCGCTTAATTCGCTATAACACAAGTAAGTGTTTAGATTATTGTTATTCTCGCCTTTATTATGATTGTTTTAAAGGTGACCCTTTAAGGGGGGGTGGATATGTTAACGCCATCTATCGTAAGCTTGCGAAAACACATTTACCTTATCCCTTCCTCTAAACTCACCTGTTGTCGACTTCGTCCGCGGCGCTGCCATCGCTGCAATTCGAACCAACGGACGAAAAAAGGGCAACGGCCTGTGTGTGCTCTGATCGCCGAGAGGAGACACCAAGCAACTCCCACGACGAGAAAAAACCGCGCTCCGGAGACGCTTTTCGCCTACACATATTTCCGCCCCGGGGCCCGCGAACATCCCGCGAACATTAGTGTAAAAAAGAAATAGTGGCGCGCCACAGGCGAACATTTCCAGGACAGGAAGAACAGGCGTCAAGGAACCAGCCCAACAAACCAACAGGTACCCCCTTTCCCACAGTTTCCCTCTAGTTTTTGTGTTTTCTTCTTGTATATAATCGCACATCCGCGCCGGGAATTTGTTTTGTTTTGTGGCGTGACCACAAGCAGTAAAAAACTGAATGAAATACCTACAGTGAGCTTTTGGTGTGGCTTTTAATTTATTAATTTAGTAATTTTAAAACTGTTTTAGGCGGTTCTGATTGAAAATTTGACCAGATGCGTTTTGTTCGCCAGCGCCTCCAAAAAGTTGTTATTGCGTTTTATGACACTAAAGTTTATACGAGACAGCCGTAGCATACTTATGTAATATCCTTGATTTTTTTAAATAACAATAATCATTTTCGTCCAAATGATTAACGTTTGTTTGTGCAGCCGTCAGCAACAACGTGTCGGCCGCAATGTCCCTGGTCTCAGAGCACGGAGCTAACAACTTTGCTACCATTAGGACAACGAGCATCGTCACAAAACAACAGAAGGAGCATAACCAGGTGCGTGGAATTTGCGTAGCTTACGTTTTCTCATTTAGCCACAGAGCATTTCCTCTAGTCTGCATTACTAAATTTTTATTTGAAGTTGAATTTTAAAGTGGTACGGCATAACTGATTTTCCGCTCGAAGTAGAGCACCCGTCTGGGAAAGTAACCTCCACCTTACAGAAAACCACAGTAAAATAACACTACCTTTTTTTTGGTGGTGTTGTGTTTCGTCGGTAAGGTTCAAGCCGCCCTAGCATGAGCACCGCGATATAATATATAACACGATTTTATCACGCTCAATTGGCAAATTATTATGGAGTTTGACAGTTAAGTGGCGATAAAAAACGAGTGAGCCTTACAGTAGTCGCGTATGATGTGTGTAACATTTGAAACATCATCTTATATTAGTAAAAAAAAAACCTACTACAAAAGGAATAAGCCACATTATGTTCTAAACTCAAATCAAATAGCTCGCACTTTCGCGACTTCCTGTTACACACTTCTGTCCCATTTCACGAAATCACCCCCACAAATGGCAGGAAAGCGAGAGGAAAAATGTCACACATCAAAAACGTGATATTATGTAAATTGTGGTGCTCATGCTACGGAAACAGGGCTCCACGGTGTAAGTGATTGGGCCAGAGTATGCAACGGCGCGAGTGATATTTTTGGTATAGCAAGCGCCTATAGGCTATTGTGATCGCTTACTATCAGTCGGGTCATATGCTCGTTTGCTAAACTTTTAACAAAAAAAATCGCCAAATTAATGTCTTGGTAGGTTTGTAAACCACGTTTTGATTGGACATATCATTATGACGTAATAGTCAAATCACAGATTTGGTGAAACTATCTATCGATGTTCGTAAACGATTAGGGGGCGTGTCACCCGCTTATGTAGCAAGAGAGTGCCCTTATATACGGTTTCTAGCGGAGGTGTTCTGTGCCTTTAGCAGAATCAGAATCCAACGAAAAAAAAATATATGGGAGCATTACCCTCTAACAGCGGAGGCTAAATATCTGCAAATCAATACGGCTATCCATGTATTGGGTAATAAATAATTACCCGTTTCCCTAATCCAATTATCGGCGCTGATTATCGGCTTGTTGATCGCAGTTTGCGTGGAACCAGTTTTTAGAGCACTTCGAATGCCATATAATTTCTAATTCGTACCAGAATCACCTCAATGTGAACACAGCCATTTACACAAACGATGATTTATTATGCGGTGTTATAGTGAGGCCCTTACTTTCAGGAGATGCACGAACAAATGTCCGGTTACAAGCGCATGAGACGGGAACATCAAGCGGCGTTATTGAAATTAGAAGAACGATGCAAAGCCGACGTAGACGCTCACAAAGCACAGCTGGACCGCGAGTACGACGCCCTACTGCAGCAGCTGTCCCGAGAGCTAGAGCGGCTACAGGTAAACAGAACTAGTCTAATTCAACGAAAAACTAAACTGCGATCGACCGTAGGATAAATATTAAAGCTACAAGAACGGTGCAAAGCCGACGTAGACGCTCATAAAGCACAGCTGGACCGCGAGTATGACGCCCTGCTGCAGCAGCTGTCCCGTGAGCTGGAGCGGCTACAGGTAAACAGAACCAGTCTAATTCAACGAAAAACTAAACTGCGATCGACCGTAGGAATAGTATGGAAGCTACAAGAACGGTGCAAAGCCAACATGGACGCCCACAAGGTGCAACTGAACCGCGAGTACGACGCCCTGCTGCAGCAGCTGTCTCGTGAGCTGGAGCGGCTACAGGTAAACAACTTAGTCTAATTCAACGAAAAACTGAACTGCGATCGACCGTAGGATAAGTATTAAGGCTACAAGAACGGTGCAAAGCCGACGTAGACGCTCACAAAGCACAGCTGGACCGCGAGTACGACGCCCTGCTGCAGCAGCTGTCGCGTGAGCTGGAGTGGCTACAGGTAAACAGAACCATTCTACTAATTCAACGAAAAACTAAACAGCGATCGACCGTAGGAATAGTATTGAAGCTACAGGAACGGTGCAAAGCCAACATGGACGCCCACAAGGTGCAGCTGGACCGCGAGTACCACGCTCTGCGGCTACAAGTGCAGAACTACTCTAATTCAACGAGAAACTAGACACCTAGCGTTTTGGGATATGTGTTGATATGTCAGTCTGTCAGTTTCTCCTTTTATGTAGGGTGAAATAGAATGTTTTAATGAAACTTCGTGAGATTGTTGGGTTACGTGTATAGAGTATACCTGTTTTTTTTTCGGATTTTTTGAAGTATTTTTTGTTTCATGTATTTATTTATAATTTGTGTATTTTTTATGTCCTTTCCTCCTGTTGAGTAATAATTATTTTAAACAAGCATACTTTCATATCCAGTGAAAAACAACTAATAAATAAGCACTTCTAAAAACGGAAAAAACAGTAAAATTAAGCGGGCGCAGCCACCGCGGGTCAACGACCGACCGCGCCCGCCAGCCGTTGAGTGAGTAGGTACACAGAGATTACTACTAGATTAGTATTCCTTTGATTCCACACAATACAACAAAATCGTCTTAGATGCCGTTATTGAAATAATAAGCACAAATGTCATCTTCTCTTAAGCAGAGAAAAACATAAAAAGTTAATAATAATTTTGTCACGATTGGAAATAGGCAAATGTTAAACAAAAAGAAATACTTATTGCAGTTCAATACTTGGGTCAGAATGAAATTTATATCCAGTTATTCAAAAGTACTTACGAGACCGATGTACCTATTCATCTTTTTCACTATAACTTTCCGTATACACTTTGTAAACAGAATCAATCACTAAACCTACTTTCGTAAAGCCTTGTGGCTCTGCTGAGTATTCCGTGACACTCGCAACATCAATACACCATGTCCAAATTCTTATATTGAGGCCACAGAACAAGAACTAATCAAGGCATTATTTGCAAATCTTGTCTTGTCACAAACTTAAAAAAGATACGCACGCGCGGTGGTTAGACTTGAGACTGCGCTTGCTCACTGCGCTTTGCACCGCGCATAGGTAGGTAAAGTAGAACTTTTTATTAGCTGCAGTAAAATGACGTTTTGTGGGTTACCGCTTTTTGAAGAAAAATAAATAGGGATGTAGCTAAGTGAGTAAGTGAATCATTCAATAAATGAATGATCAGGTTGTTTTTATTTTAGAGATTTAATATTAAGTTGTAATGTTTTTATATTCTATTTATTATTACTTTAGTAAAGAATTGATCTTTTTCAGTGGAAGTATAAGGACGTACATCCAAAATTAAACAAAATTGTCATAACAATGTTATTTATTAATCAATCATTTTCGGAATTATTATCGCTTTCAGTCACACTAATGACAAATCTGTCTGTCATTTCATCTATAAAATGATCGAGGTGGCACATTTTGTCTTCCTCTTTTATAGTGTGAGACACACAGTCACTTCACTTAGTCGGTGTCACTTTAACTTGTAGCACCTAAAAATTATTAACTTATTATTACCTAATTGGTTAAAATTTCACATGGGGTGGGAGAAAACATATTATACCTAACGAATAATAATAAGATTAGCAATGACAGGTAAACTAACCTTTGCGATGGTGGGTACTTCATTTCTATGAAAGAACTGATTTACTATTTTTCTAATAGCGGTGAATGTAAAATCATGAAGTTTTACTTTAAATGTAAGTTTTGGGCCAGAGTTTTCGGGAGGTTTAAGTGATTCACAGTCGTTCTCCTTATGCTCCTTTAAAACAGAATAAACAGTGCGGACGGATATTCCCAAGACTTCAGCCACCTTGTTGACGCATTCACTTGTTTTTGGAACTTAAATGTTTGATTCTGTAGATTTCACTTCAAACACATATTTGTAAACGTTTATGTATGACCCAAAGTTTCTCGGTTGCACTTAGCTACACGTCGCCTTATTTTCTTAGGAGATAAAAATGTATCTCCATCTTGTGATGTGCTCAACTGAGCATCCATGTCTTCGATGTAACAAACAAAAAAAGCTGTCACGATTAAAAATAAGTAGGTAACGAAAAAAAAAACACAACGTAACAAAAATTTTACAATAAAGATAACTAAAACAACTCGCAGTGGGCAAAGCAAAGTTATTCGTGCACTCAAAATAGAAGTTAAAAGCCGAATGAGCGAATGACAAATAAAATAAAATGGCGGAAAAGCGTCATCGTAGCACCGTAACTAAAAACCAGTACCGACTTGAGATTTTATACAGCCTTTTATTTATTTGAATAATAAATTGAATTAAGTATGATCATTATGAGGTACTACTATCACTATGGAACGATTAGATTTTCTGTGAACCTAAGCACATCCCTATTGAAATTAGGCTGTCAACATTATTTTACGGAATGACATTTTGAAACGTCATTTTACTGCAGCTAATAAAAAGTCGAAGTATAGGAAGGTATTCAACGGCGGGAGCGGTCATTGCTCCCGGCCGCCCGTCTTCTGTTTTTACGGTTTTTAGTAGTGCTTATTAGTTGTTTTTTACTTACTCTGTATGCATGTTGAAAAAGAATAATTATTTAGTACCCAAAAGGAGGAAAGGACTTAAAATATAACAAAAAAAAAACAAAATTAAAATATAACAAAAAAAAAACAAAATTTTATTTTTAATCATTTTAAAAAATCCGAAAAAATTCAGAGATACTCTATATACGTAACCCAACAACCCACGAAGTTTCATTAAAACATTCAATTTCACTCTATATATTTAGATTCGTTCGCCCGAAATTAAATTGTGGTTTAGATTCTTTAACACACAGAAAAGACGTAAGACGCAGAAGGGGCGCGGACATTGTTAGTTTCATAAAAATGTAAAAAACAAAGACAGCCCAAAACTAGCCTCGTGAGTTTTAAAATTAAAAGCTGTACCCCTAGCACGAACCAATATCAAATTCATATCGTTTACGAGTCCGAAATGTCATTATCAAATGTGTACTGATTTTTAATTCTCGTTACGTACTTTGTGCTGCTGCTGTTCAAGTTTCCATACAAAAATTGACATTGACATTTCGGTTTGCAAACTATTCGAATTCGATAATGGTTGAATGCTAGGGGTACTGCTCGCTGTCATGGCGGCTGCGGGTAAAAACTGCTCCGTAAGTTCTTAGGCATAGTTTGTATGCTATGGCGTATTATTATGATTAACAGATTTTCAGTAAACCATCCAAGTATTTGCGAACGTCTCTTAGGATAGTTTTGCCAGTTGGGCACGAAGGAACATTGGGAACTGACATATTTTATCCTTGACTCCCTATTTTATTGTCACTTACAGTTGATAATCATTTCCTGATAACAATCATCACTATATTCCTTGTCATACCAATATATTGTTCCATTTAACGCAAAACTGTTGTTTCAGACCAAACACGCTCAAGAGTTGGAGCGCAAACTGAAACAAAATGCCGCGGCCGAGAAGAAGCTCATCAAAGACATCACCGCGAGACAGGAACAAGAGAGGAAAGCGTTCGAGACGCAACGCAAACGCGAATACAAGGTCAACAAGGAGCGGTGGAAAAAGGAGCTCAGTATGGATGACGCAACGCCTAAGAGACAGAGAGATGCTACACTGCAGTAAGTAACAATAGTTTTGTAGCTATATAAATCTCCTTACATAGTAATAAGGGTAATTCTTGCGGCTTTTTTTATTTCTTCTTTCCATTATATTTTGTGACCAGCTAATCTGATAGTTTTTTGTTCTAAATTAACTGTATTGATGACTAAATAGCCTGCTTACCCTTACTAATTCTTATTAGTTTTTAGATATTAAAAATTATCCAACATTGTTTGTTAGCAACAATATTTTTTAAAGAGAGGTGTTTTGTGAATTTCTGGGCATGTCATCTTTCCATATCATGTAGGCGCGGGAGACCCGCCTCACTCAGCGCTCTATAAAAAGAACATGAAACCATCACGCGGAGTGGACGTGCTCCCGCTTAACGCTGCAGGCGTGTTTCGTTTGCGATATTATGGCTTTACAGTAAGACATTCCTGCACCGTGACCTTATTTTTCCAACTACTTGTACTTAAACTTGGTTGTACATCTTATCTCGCAGATCGCAGAAGGACAACATGAAGCAAGCCGAGGCTGCCGAAGAAGCGCGACTGGTCCGCTCCCAACGCGAATACTTGGAGCTGGAACTGCGTAGATTCCGACGTCGCCGTATGCTCGCGTTGCATCACAAGGAACAGGAGTTACTGCGAGAGGTATATCATCATCATCATCAGCCTATTAATGTCCCCACTGCTGGGGCACAGGCTTTCCCTATGGATGGAATAAGGAGACTGGACCGTGACCCACCACGCGGGCACAGTGCGGACTGCATATGCAGCCGGGATCAATGGCTTAACGTCCAATCCGATGCACGGAGGAGCTTGAGATTTGGTCAACCATCCAATGACCGACCATTGCGAAGGTTGCTTTTAACTTTCAAGATCTCAAGCCGCATGTGCTAACCATCCGCGCCATCCAGCTCCTTAACTGATCCTGAGAAGTATATAGTGCGATTCAAACTTAGGACCGTGGTGGCATTACTAAGGCGGCTGCGACGCGACGGCGCAATACAAATGTCTGCAGCGTGACCAAAGACATTGCGATCTCGACATGCGACATCACAAAGTCTCCGTCGCCTTGCAGTGCCCTTAGTAGTATAACGGCATCCTTAATCGCGGCTGTGAAGTTAGCTTGAGTCGCGATGCACGATATATAGTGTGTTCAAGATCTTGTGGAGTGTGGCCGAAATCGTAACTAATTTTAGGAAAGAATTAATAAGCCTTTTTTATAGAGGAAAGTGTAAATAAGCCAATTTATATTTTTTTTTACTCATCCTGAGATATTGTAAATTATAACGTTCCCTTTAATGAGGAGATTTTACGTACTTTTTAATCTTATTTTCACCAGCATCGCCCTCTTGTCAATAGCATCTAAGTGCCATAAGAATTTGGTCGCATGCAGGAAGATGGTGCGTGCGCGATTTTTGTGATCGAACTGAAACCTGCACATTTTTGTGCTCGCTGCTAACTTCCTAACTTTTCTAAATTTTACTATCAGCTAAAAATACTAATCAAACAATGCTAAAAGTTTTGTTTCTGTTAGGTCAACAGTAAATAAATTAACCTGACACTAAAATAAATCAGTATATTGATCGAGAACAATTTCATAGGAATTGCACAAGCGGCAGCAACAGTTAGAACAAGCGCACGCGATGCTCCTTCGTCATCACGAGAAGACGCAGGAGCTCGAGTACCGACAGCAGAAAGGAGTGCACGCGCTAAGGTAATTGACATTTTAATATATATTATGTATGTACTTTAAACTTTTACCTAGTATGTGATAAAAACAATTTTCCTGAACTGCTGAGTGCTACACAAATATTTTTGCGAATAATTTTAATGATGTATGACTAAAAGACTGATGTGTTAAAATATGGTTTTGATGATTCAATTTGATATTACTGCAATTCTATATTGCAAAAGCTAGATATACATTCACGTCAGCCAAATACGTAAACAGCCATGTCGTCTCAGGTATAAATGCTACCAAGAATTGAACTTACGACCACAGAGTAGACTACACCTTGAAAACTTACATACATATTCTGACTCGCTACTTCTGTCCACTAAGGTTCTTAAATGTAAAAAAAAACTAAATTTGATCTTTTATCTATGAAATATTGCTTTGCGACTTTAGAACGTATAAAACTAGGTAAGACAACAGATTTCAACAATAGTTCGTCTTCGTTTTAGGGAAGAACAATTAGCGAATCAACACGCGACAGAGTTGGCCAATCAACGCGAGTATATGCAGCGCGCCGAGCATGAATTACGCAAGAAACACGCGTTGCAGCTCAAGCAACAACCCAAAAGTCTTAAGGTATTATCTTATATATAAAATTCTCGTGTCACAATGTTAGTTACCATACTCCTCCGAAACAGTCTGACCAATTTTTATGAACTTTTATATGCATATTCCGTGGGTCTGAGAATCGGCTACTATCTATTTTTCATATCCTTAAGTGATAATGGTTGTCCACCTGTAAGGTAGTGTTCTGAAACCTACAATGCGCCTTCGCGCCAAAATTCAAACTATTGGGTATTGTAACGTAGTGTTCTCATATGGGTTAGCAGGAAATTGATATCCCAGGATAACACTATGTTACACACCCCTAAAATTTTTTTTGGACATTATTTTTTATTTTAATAATGTTGTATTAAAAATACATACAACAATACAGGACACGTGGCCTGATCGCGTCAGTTCTTACGTCCTGATTAGGTCATGTGTCCACATATACATATTAATCCGGGTCCCTTGTCATCATATTAATACATAAAGGTACACTTTCTTACCACCTTTTAAACGCATTTTGCTAAGGGGTGTGACATTTTGCTTAATGAAAATGTATGCGGGGGAGTGCAAAAACCGTTTTTTTTTTTTATAATGAAATATTTTTTCAAAGTATACTATTGGACAGAAAAGATCTAAAAAGGCGACTACTACTTGTGACTAACAGCTAAATTACTAATATAAATATTGATGAAGGACAGAAAATAAAACTTTTTTAGGCAGTATTTGCAGAGGTTAAATAATTTAGGGATGCAGTATTTATCTACCTTGAATGCTTAATTTTAACATTTATTGTTTTGTTCTGTCAACAGCAAAAAGAAATGCAGATTCGCAAACAGTTTAGAGAGACGTGTAAGATACAGACGCGCCAATACAAGGCGTTAAAGGCGCAGATTCTGCAGATGACACCCAAGGTATAGTATATAAGAGGATTACTTTTAAATTTTCATGCACTTAGTCAAATTGTTCCCATCCAAAGACCCATAGTCTTTTAGACGTATTGTTAGCAATGATTGATGCTTAGGAAATTGTGGTCAACAAAATATAAGACATAATGTTTTGTTGGCATAAATGGTACAATAAATATAATCAATAATTTATGAACAGTTAAGCTAATATATTACCGCCACATTCACTTATTAAAACCTATTACCGTAAATCATTAGTTTTGTAACTGAATCTTTACAATATAACTTGCTTTGTAACGAAATGGTCTCTTGATAAACTCTCCTTCAAATCTAGATTATTTTGCTTCTAAAACAATAAAGGACTATCAAAAAAATATTATAAAAAAAAAAACTTGCGTTTGGCTACGCACTGAAGGCAATGTTCGGCCATACAGGAACAACAGAAGGAGGTGATCAAAACACTCAAGGACGAGAAGCGACGCAAGCTGGTGCTGCTTGGCGAACAGTACGACCAGAGCATCACCGAGATGCTGCAGAAGCAGACGGTCCGGCTCGATGAGAGTCAGATGGTGAGTAATTTTGTGATGCCGAGTTTGTGGAGCCCTTTCTTTATTTATTTACTTATTTATTCTTTCAAAATATTACATTGTGTTGGATGTACTTATGATGAAACTATAAATCACACAGTCGCTTAAAAGGACAAATACTTACACTTATTAGCCTAGCCACAAAGTAAGGCTTGTGTTATGGGTTGTATACTAGGGAAACAGATAGATGACTACTAATTTTTGTGTGAACAAAAAATCTTTCAATTTTTTTAAACCCTTTTTGTTTCATCACATAATCAAAATACCTACTAATATCAGAAAATAAATTGCCAAGTAACTTTTTATTCGTTACTTACCTTTTCAAGCTTAAATTGCTGTCGCTATTGAGATGAAATTGTAAGAATGCCAAGCTAGGGAGGGTATATCGATCTACCATGGAACGTCCCTATTTTTGTAGATATTTAATTTTCTATTCACTATGCTTGGCGCTAGGGACACGCCAACTGATAAAAATTGGGCGGTTAAAGGGTTAATTCCATATAAAGCATGATAAGTAGACGCTATTGTCAAGTGTACATTAATAGCAAATACGATTATCCAACTGAAGTGTCGACATGAGTAGGAGACACGTTGAAAATATACATATCACTCGGCCCACGGATGTAGTCGTGCTCAACAACGATAGAAAACTGCGTCCTCCCGTGCGTTTAGCTCCCACATCTAGTCAGTAGTTGCAGGACGCCACAAATAGTTTGCAATCTCCACTCAGGACCCGTCTGCCACAGCAACCATCGATTCTACGGCATATATAACTACCCCACTGGCACTTCAGTACCCTTAGTACCAATCAATGTCGAACTCGAATAAATTGAATTCGATATCGATATGCGTCAAATGTCAAGCTTTGTATGGAAGATTTTTAATTCTCGGTTCGTCAACGGACGAATCTTATATTTTTTCATTGCTCGTTAAGAAACCTTGAATTGGTAGTGGTCACGTCTCGGCACATTAGACAGTGGGGAAATTAGATGACCATATCCATACTAATATTTTAAATGTCAATGTGCGTTTGTCAATTTGTCTGTTTGTTACCTCTATATGCATAAACTAAACTGATTTAGATGAAAGAGTATAAATATAGTTAGACATAGAGTTCCGGAAAAGTACATAGTATAGTTTATATTACAGAAATCATAATTTAAGAGGGGAAAAGGGGGGTGGACGTTTGTATGGACAATTGAACGACGCATTCGAAGTCGCGGGCACCCGGTAGTTCTACTATTTCACTAATATTATAAATGTCCAGGTTTATAAATATGTTTGTTACTCAATCACTCAGAAACTACTGAACGAATTTCGATGAAATTTGGTACGCATGAAGTTTATGACCTGGATAGGATAGGACATAGGATTTTTATCCCGGAAAAGTGACTGGTTCCTGTGGTATTCTGAAAAAACTAATGTTAACGACGATGAAGTCCCGGGCGGCCGCTAGTTTTCAATAATTTCGTAAGTGACTTGAAGGATGGTCATTAAAAATTATAAATTTCACGTATAGATGGAGTGCCAGCAACTAAAGATGCAGCTGGAGCATGAGTTGGATATGCTCACTGCGTACCAGAGTAAGAGCAAGATGCAGGCCGAGGCTCAGAGGAACCGCGAGCGACGCGAGCTGGAGGAACGGGTAGCGGTGAGACGCGCCTTGTTGGAGCAAAAGGTAAGAGGTTTATAGTAAAGATTAGATTTCTTTTCTCAGGTTATCTGTACCAGGGATGTTGCAGATGCCGATATTTTCACATCCGCGGATGCGGATGCGGAGTTTAGCAGGCTCACATCCGCGGATGCAGATGCGGATGCGGATGTATAAGATATTATGTAAATAAAGTCTATTAATGAAGAATTAAAACAATGACAACGTAATTATTAACATTTTTATTGTAATCAAACATAATTAAGTACTTATTTTTATGTTAAATATAAGTAATGTATAATGTAACAATTTTTTTAAACTTCACCTACTGTTTTTTATATCAGTAATTGAATTTAAAAATAGGAGCATTATACTTGATGAAGAGTAGTATTGCCGCCTTTTCTGATTCAAGTCTGTTACGCAGAGGTTCGTAAATTAATCCCGCGCTACTAAATAGTTGTTCGCTAGGAACACTGCCCGGTGGAGCAGATAAAAATCTTCGTACTATCGGCGATAATACCTTAAATTCCCCTCGATGTACACTCCACCAGTTTAAAGGATTTTCATTCACATTTATTCTTTTTTTAGTACGGTAAGCAAGTAACTCTTTTTTGAATACAGCTTCAATGCTACCATTTTCTGGCTCAGCTTGACTCTCGTCTTCACTCGACGAATCTAACATCATAGCCAAATCATTTTGTAAGCATGGCTTTTTGGTGAAACCTGAAGTCCCTGGTCCTAGTTGTTCCGTATCATTTTCCGTGCAATCAGTTATTTTAATTATTTTAGCCCTTTTGGCATTGGTATTAAGAGATTCAAAATTGTCATTCTCAGTATTTATCATTTTTAAAATGTCGTCTTTAATCTTTTCTTCAGTCACCGGTGTGAAAAATTTGTGCTTATAGCGAGGATCTAAGTAGGTAGCGATGGTATATAAATTGTTTTCTCCCAAGCTAGAAAACTTTGTTGAAAGTTCGTTTTTCAAAGTCGTAACAGCCTGACGAATCGGATCAAACTCTTGCGATCTTGTTAAATAGTCATCAACTTTTTTTTCAAGCATTTGTATTATCGGTATCACAGATGAAATAAGAGCACAAGAGCTGCTCAGTTCCCGCGTTGCTTCCTCAAAAGGTCCCAGTAATTGAATGAAACTTTCAATCATTTTCCATTCTTCTGGTAGAATAGGGTCAATTTCATTATCATTCATGTAAAGGCTCAGAGCATCCTTTACCTTTGAAAAACGCTCGAACATGTAGAATGTACTGTTCCATCGCGTTACACAATCTTGAAACACTTTCAGGTGCGGTTGATTCAGTCTGTCCTGAATTGATTGCAGTTGTTTCTGGGCAATGGTAGAGTGATTGAAATGGGTCGAAATTCTCTTACATTTTTGTTTTAGTATTTTTATGTTTTCTTGAGAACCTAAACAACTACGGATAGCTAGTTGTATCTTGTGAACAGTACAGTCTATATCATTTAATGCTGCTAATCGCCCGGCTCGTTTCATATTAGACCCTTCATCTCTGATTAGGCAATGCAGTTGTTCTTTTTTAATATTCCATTCAGAAAGCATGTTACTGAATTTTTCAGCAATTATGTCACCAGTGTGACGGCCGTCAAATGTCTCACATTTCAATATTATCGATGATCTATCAAAGTTTTCTGCAATTCCATGGCAAGTCAGGCTAAGCAAAGAAGCGTTTGAGCTAGGATCCGACCAAATGTCAGACGTAAACGACATGTTATCAAAATTTTCGATTAATTCTTTAACTTTTTGAGCCACTTTGCTATATAATTCCTTGCATACAAAATCTGTAAAAAAATTGCGTCCCCTAAAGTTATATCTTGGTGCTAATTCTTGCATCAGTCTACGAAAACCTAGCCCTTCAACAAAATTAAACGGTAAATTTTGAAGTGCAATCATTTCTCCAATGAGTTTATCAATTTTTTTAGAATTTAAATTATTGACGTCCCACTTCTTTTCTTTTAGAACCACTTCCTCTAATGAAAGTTGTTTCTTTGCTTCTTGCAGAGGAGTGGTAACTTTATCTGAAAAATACACAAATGAATAAAAATTTTCGTTATAAAAAACTATTTACTTAAAAGTAATTAACAAGTGAGGACATTTTAAAACACCAGAAAACCTTTCTATATATTTTTGTAAATAACTTTCAGAATCAAATGTCCAACTTATATTGCAAAAAATAAAAATAAAAGGAGTTTATTCCTTATAAATATTTATAATAAGGAAGGATCCCTAATGTTTTCTGGCATTAACATTAAATATAGCGTGAAGCTAAGCTACACTAAGAAGAAAAGCTACACTTTTCAATGGTGATAGAATTTTTGCAATCGGCCAAGTAGTTTTTGAGTTAAGTAATTCACTATTCATATTTTAATATCATATTAAAAAATATATATTTATGTTCAGGTTATTTTATATTGAAACGAAATCAATAAAAAAAAAAAATTTTAAATAGATAAATGAATTACATATATCAGTCTTTTTACAACTGACGTTTTATATGAAAAGTAAATAACTATAATATTGAGTGGAAACTTAGCCAATAAACCACAACTAAAACTATGCTTTTATTATACTAACCAAACAATGCCTCAAGTAAATATTAATTAATTAAAACTATAAATGATGAAACTTACTTGCGTCAGATTTCATCTGTTGTAATTTTTTTTCTTTACTAACGTTCTCAAATGAAGAAAATTCTTCTGAGTGCATCGACTTTAAATAGATAAATGAATTACATATATCAGTCTTTTTACAACTGACGTTTTATATGAAAAGTAAATAACTATAATATTGAGTGGAAACTTAGCCAATAAACCACAACTAAAACTATGCTTTTATTATACTAACCAAACAATGCCTCAAGTAAATATTAATTAATTAAAACTATAAATGATGAAACTTACTTGCGTCAGATTTCATCTGTTGTAATTTTTTTTCTTTACTAACGTTCTCAAATGAAGAAAATTCTTCTGAGTGCATCGACTTAAGATGGTTTTTCAAAGACGATGTGGTGCGGCCCTTGCGAGAGTAGCTTTTTTTACATATTTTACAATCAGCTTTATCCTGGTCTTCTTGATTTGGTTCAAAATAATCCCATATATTACTTTTGGTCGGTGGTGACATTGCTGACTAAATAGTTAGATAAACTATCAATAACGGGAATCACACTGGAAAAATAACGAATTTCGTCATAAAACGATAATTTTTCCTACAATAAAACGTATTACCGGCGTAATATAATAGAATTTACCTTGTGATCTTATGGATATTAGTCTTAAATAATATAAAGTTTTCTTGTAAACGCTTCTTATTTACACACTGTATCACAACAACATTAAAAATACCTATCTATCTTTATGATACGATAAGTAGTTCACTTTTACTTCACAGCGCAAACAAACACGTAATATTTATTCACTTGCAAGAAACAAATGATGCACTAGCTAGAACAAACAAAGGTGTCGAATCTTGTCACCAATTTCTTCGCTCCCATTGGTTATTGTCACGTGCGACCGGCACGCGTCAATCACCGGCCCCGCCCAATTTCTTTCTTGTCGCTACTTGTATAATATTCGCATCCGCATGAACATTCGCATTGATTAATGCGGATGCGGAAGCAGATGCAGATGTCGAAATCAATGCGGATGTTCCGCATTTGCGGATGCAGATGCGAATGTTCGCAACATCCCTGATCTGTACCCCTAGCACGAACCAATATCCAATTCGAATAGTTTGGGAGTGCGAAAGAAATATCATTGTCAAATTTTGTTTGGAAACTTGAACAACAGCGCTACAATTTACATAACAAGAACTAAAAATCAGTACACATTTGACAATGACATTTCGCACTCGCAAACTATACGAATTCGATATTGGTTCGTGCTAAGAGTACAGCAACCGCGTCGCCAAGAGGGGGCAGGTGGATGCAGCTGTAGCCAAATATAAAGCAACCAAAGTCCTTGGTCCACTCATTTGGCTTGCCTGTCCAAACATTTCTGCCGCCTCTACGTCGAAACTTGAATGAATTCACTCGGTGATTCCAATCCCAACTGAGTTTATACCTTAACACCGTCCATTTATGAACTAGACCTTGACCGTGCCTTATATTATTTGTTATAAAAAACTATGGTTACTGCAGATCATTACCTGAAATTTGTTTTTGTTTTTAATAGTATAATTTTAAATTAATACCTATGTTTTCAGATGGAGTCGGAGTGTGCGCAATTCGTAGCGGACCGCGCGGAACGTACGCGACTACTGCACGACAGACACGAACGCGAGTTGGCGCAGTTCGACAACGAGAGTGCGCGTCTCGGGTTCAGGTATATATTCTGGCAAACTTCTTGAGCAACGACCATAGACAAGGAAGCCTGCGCAACTTTATTTGTCTGTGGTTTTGTTCAAGAAGTTTGCCGTGACTTATAACACTGACAACTGCTCCCCACCCATAGAGGTATAAAAATAGAGGGGGGAAGGCGGCTCTAAAAGTGTCCGTCTAGTAGAAAGAGAAAGAAGATGAGAGGCCGCTAGCTATCTCTCTCTCTTGTGATGCATGCGCAGTCGTCTGTCCAAGCATCACATCGAAATATTAAGATGCTTATGGTTGCCAATGCGCATGCGCGATTAGAGAGAGAAAGCTAGCGGTCTCTCATCTTCTTTCACTTTCTATTAGAGGGACACTTCCACTTATAGTAGAGTCTATATCGCCCCTTCTTTATTCTTATATCTTTATGCTTATAACACTGACCACTGCTCCCCACGACGGTTTGAAGCTAGCCGCAGGTAGGGGCCGAACGCATACGGCTGCTGTACGACGAGTTTAGCACTGAACAAAAACTGTTAATAGCAGGCAATTCGACGTTGGTTCTATAATAGAACGAACTATAGGTGAATCAAAATTAATGTCAACGTTTTAACAGAAAATAAAAAAAGTTGGCGTGGAACCACCAATTTTTAATAACAATCAAAAATGTAAAGCGGCATGCTAAAGATGAACCAAAAATTTTTTTGCGACGAATTAAAATTTTCACACCAAATGGGCGGCTCCTGTCGTCTATGAAAATAGTTACTTAATCTTGCCGCTACTGATTTTTATACTTTTTTGTTGTAGTTTCTAATTAGTTGACCATTATTGTCCATACCTTCAAACTGATTTCAATGTTTGTCCGTAATGTAATATTGAAACTGCACTTGTTGGGATTTATATTGTTTTTCTAATAAATGATAAATCGTTGAACATATTGTTTTTCTGTTTATTGTTTAATTTCAAAATAAAAACGATTGCGGTGAAGTATCTCACATAATGTCAAGGACCCTTGGTAGTGTTACTAATTATACGACCACCACTGTACATATATATAGTCGTGTGACGCTCGTGACGCATTTCCTATATGAAGGACGCCTCGAGGCGTTACTTCGATAAAGCCGCGCATCACCCTAACCTCTTAATAGTAAAAGCGAGTAGTTATCATACGTCCGCCCTCCCGTCCTCCAATCGTAGGTCCCTCCGATTCCGTCGGCCTAGGCACGTCTTAGACTACCTAGACGACGAAATCACACGCGCCAACGCGCCTCCGCCTCCTCCCACACAGGCTACAAACACCAACACTACACAGCTAGCAAACGTGCACACTAGCTTAGCATTAGGCAGACACCGCACCCGTAGGATAAGAGTGCGAAGACCCGGTCTACACACGACACGCTATACCAGGTACAGGTACGTACCTGGGCGTTTTTCCCCGCCCCCCACTACAACGGCTGACTAGAGCCGAGGTCCGAGTCTCAGAGACGCCCTCTAGTTGAGCCGACCCCCTCAGGTTCGAGTGGTCTGGATGCCCCAGACGGAGAGGAGACTCCCCCCGTGGGGAGACGCCATCCGACTGGAATACCTCCAGAGGCACTCGCCAATTCTCGGCTTGAGGTCCCCTTAGGATGTCGCCGTCCCCAAACCCGGTGACGCTGTAAAGGTCATCTGCGACTAACAGCATACACACTCAAAAAAAAAAAGTGACGCATTTCCTTTTGATTTTTTCATAGGATATTTTCATTTACACCCCGACAAAAAGAAGTTTAATTAAAAAAAAGAACGGAAATAATTACTTTCTAGTAGCGGCCACCCGCGACTACGTCCGCGTTAACTTAAAGATTTTTGTTTTTTTTTCCAAAATAAAAGTTTTTTTCTAAATTAAAAGTAGCCTAAGTAACTCATTATTACATCGGCTACCTGCCATTAAAAGTCCCGTTAAAATCGGTTCAGCCATTTCAGAGATTAGCCGGAACAAACAGACCGACAAAAATTGTAATTAAATTCGCGTATGATGTGTAACATTTGAATCCTCACCTTAAAAAGAAATAAAACCTACTACAAAAGGAATAAGCCATTTGAACATTATGTTCTAAAATCAAATCAAATAGCGCGCTTCCCAAACTCTTCCGTCCCACTTCACGTAATCACTCCCACAAATTGCACGAAAGCGAGAGGAAAGATGTTACGGCTTGGCCACGTAGACGGGCTAGGCTAAGCGCGGGTGCGGGTGGCATGCCACGTACATTCAGTAACGGCTACAGCGGCTGACTAAAGTGGACGAATTGAGGATGGCTCTAACTAAAGTGATGTGTAGTTGCCTTGACAGCAGTTCGTATTTTATGGCGAATACTATACTATACTTGTACCTACTTATTAGTAATTACGTATTATCTCATAAAACTTATTGTCCTGATCTTATTTATTTAATTGCATAGTCTTTTAATTACATTTTTATACTTGTGTTATGAATGCTTAGACATCCATATAGATGGTCGGTTTAATATTTGTATAATAAATGCTTCGGTGTCCATAATAAAATGCTGCCGCTCGTGGATTCGTCCAAAAATTTTTGTTTGACTCGATCCGTCCCACGCTAGCCGTTTTCAACCGCCCGAAAAACCGCTGTGCACCGTGGCCATGCGCAAACTAGCCCATAGCTTTGTTTCCACCCGCCCGGCTGGCCCGCTACCGCTGTCCCGAACTGCCGCCGCCAGCCGCGGCCGCTCTAGCCCGCCGCGCGCGAGTCGTGGCATACTTCATACATTCTCATACATTTGTTTAATAAGCCAACCGCTGCCGCCACCCGCAACCGCTCCTAGTCCGTCTCCGTGGCCAAGCACTTACACATCTACAAGGGTTTATTTCAATATTACAGACAGACACTCCAATTTTATTTCTATGTATAGATGTATAGAAGATTATAACTAGCGTACACTTGCAGCGCGATGGCGATCGCCGAGGGCAGCAGGGAGGGTTACGGCGAGGAGGAGACCTCCCTCTCCGGCTCGATGCTGTCGCTTGCGCACAGCAACTCGTCCGCTAGTTTCCCGGCCGGATCGCTCTAGGCACCAGCCATTGCCAAAGGTTAAACTCGAACCTCCTACTTCACTCCACACTTTTAGGCCCACATACAGCAAATTTACTAAATCTAGATTCAACTAGAACTGGTTTTAGCTCATATACTATATTGTCATACAAAAATGTCAAAGGGTAGTGTCAATTCGCCATTCTTGTATGGCCTACGGGCCACTTGTAGCAAATTTGCTAAATGTCGATTCAACTAAAGCTAGATTTATCCCATAGAAAAATGACTAAACATCAATGTCAATTCGACATCATTGAATGGAATTAATTTAGTTTTAGTTAAATTGAGATTTAGCGAAATTCCTGCAAAACTAAATCTGGTATAAGTTAAATCGAGATTTAGCTAAATTGTTGCAACTGCATTAGCTGATTAACGATTGAAACTCAACTTTACCGTATTCCTGTGTATTGCCTGTAGGTTGTCCAAACGCATTTGTAATTAGCGGCCACCCGTGATTTCGTCCGCGTGAACTTTTGTTATTTTTGTAATCCCAGAGAAACCTGTCATGGTTCCTCATAAAAAGTATCATAGGTCATAAAGTATAGCCATACTAAATTTCATCCCAATCCGTTCAGTTCGTTTTTGCCTAATTAAGTAAAAAAACACAAACATTCACAATTATTATAATATTAGTAGGATACGCACTATTTTCATCAGATATCTGTGCCTCATTGGTAAGATTTTTTTATTGATGATCATGTTTTTGTGTATGATAAAATGCATGTTTAGTCTGATTTAGTACTTACTAGGTAGTCAGTTTCCACAACGTCAGTAATATTACCGAAGTAAAAATGTTACTCAGTTTTTAAAAGTAGTACAAAAATTATAAGCATGATTTTCAGCAGTATCCATAAGAATTCTGTAATAAAAATGGAAAATGTCAATGAACAAATCCAATCTTTATGTACATGTTTTTAAAGGACACAGACAAACCATTAATGTGTTTGGCCCATTCACTTACTAAGCTATAAATTTTACAAAGGATGGTTGAGTTTGGATTGTTTATCAAATTGGTAATTGGTCACTGTAAAAAATATGGTTTGATTTACGAAACAGGAACATTGATATTTGCAAATAAACAGTATGTATTGATTAAGCAGAACGTCGAAAAGTTGCACATACTATCTTCTTTCTGACTCGCATCATTGATTTATTATATTGACTGTTACTTGTTTATAATAGGGTATGAAGATGTACCCGCATAGATCAAAATTTAATTTTGCACATCTTGCCAAAAGAAATCTGTTCTTCTTTTGTTTAATGCATTCCAAACGCAGTTAGACATCTGGCTAAATCACTTAATGTGTGGCCTAAACATTAGGAACCTATTGTGTAACTTTCCGACATCTTATGTATTACATAGTTTAGCTCTCTAATTACCTCCTATTTATATAAACATACATTTTATAACGAACTTTTGTTATAACGACAACCTTTGGCAACAGCATTATGAATTCCACGATATTTGTAAGTACTGAGACTGTAGGGCCCTCCCGCGTTGCGGCTTTAACTCGGCATTAACTATGTGCTTGAAGCCAAATTTTATTTGTTAATTAACTATTTTTGTTGTCTTCCAAACGAGCGTCAGTATTTATGTAGTCAACGACGACGGTGGTTCGGGAGGGCATTTCCTATTTTTATTACAATATTAAGTTTATTGCACTCCATAATTATTAACCATTCGAACTATAGAAGGTTGTGATGCGTTTAGATTACGGATCTTCTCTTCTTATAATTATTATCCATGTCGAAAAAAAATCAAATATATTTATCCCCATCAAAATCTTACCTTGACAAAAGTTGTTTTTAATAATTTTCAATGTTAAAAATTAAGCAGAAAAAGCTTGGGATTTTGAATAGTTTCCGCTGATCTGTAATCTAGGCGGATTATCGCTTTTATTGGTAAGTGCACCAGTGTGTTTCTGGTATTATTCTTTATGTCACGGCAGGATCGAACATTGAATGAAACACACAGCTTTGGTTTCTAAACGATACTCCTCTGACCAGTATTTCCTATATTCAGGATATTAGATATTGAATGTCCACTAGCGCGCGCCTGAGAGGTTTGGAGCGTGCCAGAGACATACTGTTGTTAAATAGAATTATATTTGTGTAATGTTAATAAAGAGGTTATACGCGAGTTTGTGTGCCGATATAGTATAATGATGATGCAATGACGTGAGAATGAAACGCTTTTTTATTAGTAATTTTACTCACAAATCACCTGTTCTGTCGATTTTATTGATAAACAAGGACATTACAATGACATGTCTAAGTACCTAAAGTTATCCTCTCTTCAACGCTAAATTACTTCTTGATTCGACAGAATCGTGTCTGATTGTACGATCTCTTAGACATAAGGAATGTTACTTTTCTTTATTTAGTATAAATTTTGCAAAACGAAAATCTTAGGCCGTCCATATCGAAACGACAAAAACATCTCGAAAAACGACAGAACGGGACACTGTAGAAGGCATGTTTAATAAAAAAAATATATAAATAAAATCTTAGTATTCTTGATCTACTCTTGTATACTATGTAGCTTATTGCATAAGTTTCTTTAGTAGTTTTAGCAAATGTTTTGTCTTGTTCGTAAAAAAATGAAACAAATTTGACTCGCTGTCAACACGTCAAATCATGAGATACCGAGGAACATTGGCCTCCAGTAATGCGCTCGACATGTTTGACTAAAGCTACGGACCCAGTCAACTGAGCACCGCGCCCGCCCTCGCCTCACGTTGCTTCCGCCACGAAAATTATTATTTAAAACATTAGATAGTCAAAATTCTAATATTCATATCATTAGGTTTTACTTTAGGGTCGATTTTCGCTTGTAAGTTGTATTCCTTTATCGGACTGATCGTATTTGTTTATTATGCCTATTACGTTTTATCTATTGATGTTGGAATTTATTGTACGATGCAACAGGATATATTGACGTTACATTTGTTAGATCGTAGATATATGAAGTAACTGCAAGAGACGTGCGGGTGCTGACTACTGTGTGACTACTGCCAATACGTTTTTGTAAATATTAATATGTATTAACTAAATATTAGCTTGCACACGATTTGCCTTAACCGGTGCGACGCGCGGTGCTCAGTGTTTTGTATATAATGAACAATAAAAAATATACTAAGTATTATACATAAATTGTTACATTTTGTAAGGTGCAAATTCGATTCGTGTACATTAGCAATGCGACACAAAATGACTTCTGCGCTGAGGTCTACATGTGCTATTTTTTGTCATTTTTTTAGTTTCCTATACACTATTGTATTTGAACTAAGCAACCAGTCATGTCTGTAAATGATTATATTATTTAATTTAACGTCGATTTTAGTCATAAAATCCAAATTTAGTTAATGCTATAATTGAAAAGTAATTTTTTTACTTTTATAAGTATATTATCTTCCTATATCACATTGCTTGTAAGCATCACATGATGTGAACGTACTGTATTATTTTGAGTCTGTTAGCCATTTATATTATTATTTAACCTTTTTATAACTCGACGCCTAAACTTGTAGAATTAAAAGTAAAATATTTGTTTTAACTGTGCTTACTCCGTAAAGAATGCGCGGTTCACCCATCTTTTATATACATATATGGTACATAGTAAGACCGAAAACCTACCTGATGATGGCACTGTGAATCTAGTTGGGTCAACAGAAATGAATACCTTCTTAGTTTCTCCTCCTGAACTGACCAAGTAAATGACAATAATCTCTAGATACAGCCTATCGACTCGTAAACCTGTTTCTGTAAATACATTTTAGGCAATCTAATGTAGGCGAAGCGTTGACCATAGGAATCTACTAGAACAAATTAGAGCAAATGTTGAGAGTTCACATATTATCATTCAAGTAAGTTTTTTGAAGCGAAGTACTTGGTCGCGTATTTACATCAACGTAATAATTTACGCTGATGATGATTCTCCTTATTTCATCAATAGGGAAAGCCTGTGCACCTGCCGTGGGGGTATAAATAGGCTGATGATGATTCATTTACGTTACAAAACGTATTCATTAAGTACATTGTCGATCGCTGCGCTCTACGCAAAATTTGTAACGGAACCTGGAACCGAAGCACTATGGAATTGAATCGTAAGCTGTAATTTCGTTTACTCGCAATAGAGGGTCGGTACTTAAGGGTCGGCGCCTCGATGCCGCCAGTAGTGCCCGCCGCGCGGAGGATCCCTCGTCACATTATTTTATTTTTATTTAATTTTTGGATCGATCTCTGCGGCGGGTATAGTGCTTAGGCGCAGTTTTCCCTCTTTCTTAACTCCCACCACTTAGCTGTCTAGAGTTACGTAATCAGGTATAAACACCCTTAGTAAACCCGCCAGATTATTATTATTATTATGATTACAATATAGAAGTACCAAACTGTAGCTAGCTCACGTATTATGTAAATTGTAATTAAATAATTTTTATATTTTACCATTGTATAGACGTTTATCACTGATAGGTAGTTAGCGACATTGTGAGAGGTGTGACAAGGTGCGCGCGGCCGCCCCTATTATATAGTTTGCGATTGTTTGCGGCTCGCCCAGTGCACCATTGTTGTTTTCTTTTATTTTATTTTTTTGTTATATATTTAAATAACACAATGGTAGTTTTAATAATTATTATCATTAATTATTATATTGTAATATAATCTTATTAATGAAAAAAATCAAACTGAAATAAATAGAAAGGAAATCGTATTATGCTATTTTATTCCAAAAACCCTCCAGACATCTTGCCATAATTTGAGTTTTCTCAAAAAACGTTTGCATTAAGCAGCAATTAGTTCTTGCTACACAAAAAGGATTTACACAATGTTTCTTTTCAAAACTATTGAAAATGTATTGAAGATTCAATGAATCGAACTAATTGTACATAATCGCTAGAACATCTAAAAGCTGGATAGCTAAACGTATTATGATCAACCTAGCGCACAGTCAAAGCGCATCGAAATGTCTATCAGAAACTTAACAAAGTAAATTCACTGTTATCTCTGCAAAGTAATGCAGCGTTTTTACCTAGTGTGTACTCTAGACGTTTAAGGTACAATTCCGCAATGGGCTGCAGGCGACACTGCGGCTGACAGTGCATTATATGCATTGTGCAGCCGCGGCATGTCGCCGGGCTCGGAATCAATTTCATAGAGATTCATAGAAACTAGTAGTGTCGCCTGCAGTCTGGAGCTGCGGCCTGTGGTTCAGTTCGGACTTGTACCTTTAGATACCAATGTACAGTTACGACGCGTAAAGATTAAAGATCATTGTAATGGTGTATTTATGTATTTGGAGACTTGATCTGAAGAAATATAAAACTAGTTGGTTTTACATTTAGATGACTTTAAATGCAAATAAACAAAGTGAACCTTTGCTCTTAACATGTATATGACCAAATACCAAATTATACTTAAAAATTTTATGAAGCTGACTGTACATGGAATGCTCAAAACAAAGTTGCGTTGTTTCCATTGATGACTAAGCAATCGAGCATTCATTCCCAAAGTCCAGTCAAACATCGTTGTAATGAGCTTGTTCGCTCACACTGTTTCCATGTTTCCATTCACCGAGCGAGCAAATCTTTGCGTTAAGTGGAAACTCAGCATATTGCACATAATCCTTCTGAGATAAAAAGAAGCGCGCATTCGACGTAATTAGCGCGCGATCAGCTCTGAAGGAATATGTGCATTACGTTGCAAAGATAAGGGTGAATTTGCTATGTTTCCTACATTCTGAATGACGCTTCGATTCTGCGCTAGTTTGACCATTATTATTTAAATAAAACTAACACAATAGTGTTAGTTAATAATAATAATTATTCCAAAATATGTAAAATGTGGAAAGTCATGGTTCGTCATTTAAATGTGGAAAGCACCTTAAATCGGCAGTTTCATAAATTCAATAGCTAACTTTAATCAGTTTGTGACCTTTTTCGTCTAAGGTTTTCGAGGTCTACTCCGGAAGTGGTCTTTATTTGTGTGAACAGAAAAACAACCTTTTCTAATACTTGGTAAGAAAAATATATATAGTAGGTAAGCAGTTTGTCGTATTGGATATAGTGGGTGGCCGCGACTTTGTCTACATTTATACCAACTATTATCTCTCTTCTAGTGTATATATAACACTAACTAAATATAATCTACCTAACTAAATATAAAAAATAGCAGTGGGGACATTAATTATTAATAGGCTGATGATGATGATGGATCAATTGATTTTTCCACATAACACAGAGGGTTTAGTAGGGTCACAGTAATGTGTGAGCAAATGCTCATAACTTGACCAAAATTTGGTTCTCATTGCGTCGTTACTCTAGGGTGTGAGCGTTGATTGGTTCGATTGTTTGATGTCGCGCCCTTTAATTGGCTATTATCTATTAGGTAGAAGTGTAGTGAAGGCGAGCCTCCGATATCGGATACTGTACAAGCGGTCTATGCACACTCTTCTAACCTCTTTCTGCGTTCTGTGGATTACCCATACAAACTTCAAAATTACATTTACATACAGAAAACTAATCTCTGGAATAAAAACTATTCTTTGTCCTTTTCCGAGACAAACTACCTATATCTTTACCAAATTTCATCTAGAGCGGTTCAGCAAATCAAGCGTTTGCCATATTTAAAATATTAATTTATCTAAGTTTTCACAACAAGTTGCGCTAAAAGTACCTAATAAAAATACATTTTTATTAAAAGCACCTATTCCATAGTTGTTACAATTCATGAATTTATAAGATTTGTTATTAGCAAGTCTGTTAAGGCGAAGATATTCATTCAGTTCAGTGATTATATAGTTGAGATAACTACATTGCTACATCTGTATTGTTATATTCGTACAAGGAATCGCTTCTCTGCATCAGTAAATTTACTTAAAAGATAAATAAAACAGCGGATCAACTTTTTAAAAACGAACTTCATCTATATTAAATATAATAAAAAATAAGAAACAAAATTTAGGTTAAATAGCCAACAATACAATGTATTTCACATGTGAATAAAATAAACCCTTATGATTATTTTACTTGATCTTATTTATTACAATGAAATGATAACGTTTTAATTACTTTCGTAAATGCTATAAAAAATTAAATACAAGACGTTATAATAAAGTATATCTCTATCGCATCTTCAAAGTCAACCAGCCTTTGATTTATTATTAAATAAAATACAATCTTGAAAAAAGGTGACACTGAACATTAACAATTATTTTTTATAATTTTAGGTATAAGCGAACTATATTGTGTCAATTTTACTAGAAAACAAATCCAATCTGTCCAGGCTGTATTCAATCATCATCAGTCGGGATTCGAACCCGCATCTTCCGCCCGGACCCAGTGGATTTTTTTCTAGTAAAATGTTCTTTAGACTTATGAATCTAGCAGTTAAATGCCTAAAATTACAATATACAAATATATTGTGTCTTTCAAGATGATGTAGACTGTACAGCGGGCCTAGGATCATCGTTGGAATGTTTAAATTTTAGACCTTAAAAATATAAAAAGAAGATTTTAAATTTAAACATTCGTACGAGTATTTTTTGGGCCATATTCTATGTAGAAGGCCTTCTTGTTTAGTAAATAAGGTGTGAGCACAGAGGGCAATCTTTCGCAAACAACTTGTTAACGACAAAGGATATAAGGTAATATAATTAGGATCAACATGCTCCAATCCATAACATTACTAAGAAAATAGCAAAATCGATACATCTTCTGCCTTATCTGTATTTGATTGTCACATTTTAATTAATAAAATGGATAGTTATTAAATACTAACCTTATTTATTAATATCTAGAAATCATGACTGGATACATTACACATGTTTTCTATACAAAACATTTTGATTCATAGTTTTACAATGTGTAATTTTAATACCGCAACTTTTTGCTTTTTTAACTAAAAAAACTTATAAGTTTAAATTGATATAATTTGACAGAAGAAGTAAGGATGAGTTTTCGGATCATATTATTTTACAATTAACTTATACCGTATAACATCTCTCAATACCGCCAAGTATGTAATCTTAATAATGAAAAAAATGGTGTAAATGAATCTGCTTAAAATTCGATCAAATATTTTTGAATTATACCATATACCTATCTTATATTATAAGGTGTATAATTAATAACACAAAAGTAAAATTACATTTTCATCTGATTTTATTTACATTAGAATAAAATCTATAAATAGCAAACTTATGGTATATTCAATACGGTAGAGGAAAATATATTAAAGTTTATTTACAATAAACTCGTTACAAAGACTTTTAGATTTTAATAGCTGAAGTTGTATTTGGGAAAAAATAGGAGAAACTACTTTATATAGAGATATATAGCACGCGCGATAAACAACTAAAATTACATTGACAACTTTTAATGTAATTCATTCAGCAGGTTTCTAGGGTAAATTTTATTTGTAAAATACCATATATAAACATACATTTCTACATAGTGTGCGTGAAAAAAGTAATGACTGTTCTAGGAACAAAACTAACAGGCTTATATTAATCGTAGTCCTCTAGGCATAAATAAACCCTTTTTCAGGCTTCGACAAAACAAGTATGGAACTTGTTGGGTAAACAAAATGTGCGAAGTAAATGTTTTATACCTGTATAGATACTACGATATATAGGATGTTACAAAAATACCCGTTAAGCTTGAAATGACATCGACTACATGAAAAACTAAAATAACGAACTTTAACAAATAAATAATTTATTAATTTGATTTAAAAAATATCGATAATATTTTCAATAGATTCTCAACGAATTGAAACAAAAAAAATCTTAGCTGAGAAGTTGTTTAAATGTTCATCTCGTATAAATTTTACATTAATAATACCATCACACCCACATCATTTAATTGACAGAGCATCAAAGGTGTGGATATATTGAAAGATAAACTTATAGCTATAGTTCAACGACTCCATATTTTGCTTTAGTTGGCTCTAACTATTGAAAAAAAAGTGACAGGTTGCTAGCCCCAGTTCAGCATGCCATGGAATTTCTCTCATTTACTAGGTACGCACTTACTAAAATTCGATTAAAATATATATTTGTTTTCAGAATGGTACAGTCTGCTTATGTGTATGTGTGTACCAGGAGTATAGGATACTTATACCTGGTAGAAAGAAAGAGATAGTATACATAGCAGATTCATTACTACTCCTGGTAAGGTGCATGACCTCGAACTAGTGATGTGTCTTAAAATGATCGATATTTTTACTGATCTAAAAAAATAACTGTTTTAACAAAAAAATAAAACCTCTTGCAAATATTTTAAGAAAATTAGAGCAGACTCCTTATATGATGCACTTCAACGCCCTTCAAGCCTAACACGTATTTTTGTAACACCCTGTATAAAATGAAAACGGAAGAATGTTTAAAACAGGTATTCTATAAAACAAGTTCTAAGTCGAAGCGTCGCATCACGTCCTGTTTTTCAGCGATAAATCGTCGCGTGATTATGCTCACATTAGCGCCCGGATCTAAGTGCTGGACTAGTTCAGAAACTTTTGAAAATTCGTGAAGGGCGCTCGTGCTGTTGAGCATTGATCGACATCGTAAACTGTGGTAAACAATGTGTGATATAGATCTTATTATAATCGCTCTTATATCATAAGTCTGAATCTTCTTTCTATCAGAAGCTGAAGGAAAAAAAATGAAACTTGCGCGAAACCGCTCTACTTGAACCAAGCGTCGACGCGCGATTCTATATTTGCATACTCTATGTGGACAAATAGAGATGACTGTACTACAGGCGAAAAACAGACTCGTGGCGATGCTTCGAGTTTGCGCATGTGTGAGTTGAGCCTAAGGATGTAAAATAAATGTAAGTTTTATGTCGGCCGAGTTACTGCGTAGGCGAGAACTCGGTAGGTTCGAGGATGCGGCAGTGCATCTCCCTTATAAGGGGTACGGTATACGCGACGCACTCGTCCCAGCCGGGGTTGCGCCACGTACTCTCGCGGGTCTCACGACGCGCCTGTAGGTCCTTGTAACCTAAATAGTAAGAATAAAGACCGCCGCATTATTGGAAGTCGCTGATATTCTACCACAACTTTATTTATCTTATACATGCTTAGTTATATCATGATACCAACAAGTAAAACTTTGAAAAGTATTTAGGTTATTTAATCAGCATAAATACATCCATCATAGAAAATCTAAGTTACTGTACGCAGAGCGGACCTCCGCTCCGTGTTCCCGCTTAAGGGAGCGCACGCCCTTAAACTACCCAAACAGAGGCGATCTGCATTCACGGTCGCGTTCTGATATGACAGTCTGGACTGTCGAACATGGAACATTTCAAATATGCGCTGTCGGGATGCGATCCAACCGCACGCCCCGCCCTCTTCATTGCCGCTTGTATGTGTGATGACATTTATTGGTAACTGCACACAAGGCCGGATTTAAGGCAGAGCTTTGTCCCAGGGGCCTCCACAGGAGAGATAAAAAAAATGCGACAGGTCACAAACCAGGGGGGAGGTTAGGTGCAAATCGGAACTCTGCTTATATTTTAGGAGCCTCCACACCTCTAAATCCGGCCATGACTGCACAGATTATCAAAAATACGCAATGATAAGCGCACGGGCAGATAGCCACCATGTTCGCGCCCGTCTGTTAGGAGCTTTCAAACTAATAAAAAATCAGCTTACACCAGATAAGATGCACATTTTTATTCGAGCGATGGTACTTAAGGAACATAGTGCAGGGATTGAGACCGGTGGAAGTAAAGTACTAAATCAATCAATCAACTTACACCAGATATGATGCACGTTGTACAAACGTCCAATCTGAGAGAAGTACGCGGCGAAGGCCTCGTTCTTCGAGCGACGGTAGGTGAGGCCGCGCGCCCAGTTGTTGCCCCACTCAATCATCGTGCCGGGCTTGAGACTGTTGAATGTAAACTACTATTAGTATATTTAGTACTATCATTTTTCTATATATTTGATTCTTCTCCATTTATGGCAAGGCCAGGCTTGAGACTGGTGACAATAAACTATATTTGCTATTTGAGTGTAGATTATATGCGAACAACAAATTATATATGATAAGCAAAAACTCTTTTCATACATTTAAAAAATTTTGCATTCTTTGTTTCATTCATAGAAAAGAATGAGTAGTCAATTATGTTAAATTTTAATTTAAGTTTGGCAAATACATTTACTCTTAATTAATTAAAACACTAATAGTTATACAAATTATGATAAAAATAATTTAACCTGTAAGATCTTATCTCATAAATGTTACTGGGCTCACGTGGTTCGCCATTTGGCCAGAAACTGAATGCTAGCAGATACTGTAGGTGCCGGGATCGCACAAAGTTACCACGCTCTTTCTCAAGAGTGGCATAGTCCTATGGAAAAAAATATTTCAGTTTAAAATAATCTTATATTTATAACAAAATAAGTATTTACTACAGGCAGTCCCACTATTATGCTACATACATAATAGTGAGACCATGAGCAGCATATGTAAATCCTGTAATATATTTTTATTATTCTAGTTTTTATAGTGTATTATTTATTTATTTGGGATAGATAGCTATCAATAAAGTGTTACATATTACATAGCTATGGTCAAGCTTGTGTTTTTTAGTATAAGTTTTTATTTATATTTACTAATTTTAAAGTTTTGAAGTGCATATTAGATGGCGGTAACTTTCCAACAAGTTGTTTTTGGTGTGATTCTCTAAGCATGAAACTAAATTTTGTACTTGCCAAGTTTAAGTTTAGATAATCATGCCCGAATCAACATCACTGTTATCTCTTTAGTATGTTGAGAAGACATTTTATTAGTTTTTTTGATAAAAATTTAACTATGATGATTTTGCAGCTTGAACTCCTTTATATTTTTTATATAATAAGAATTCTAGAATATTATCAAGAAGGGACAGAATAGCCGACTAAGATGAATCACAGTTAAAGATTGAATTAATGAATAATTTTACATTCAAAGCAATGAAGAAAACTTACAGGGTTTGTTCTAAATAATATTTTGGCCTTATCAATCTTTTCGAAGCCACCAACATAGCGCCACAGGTGTAGGGCTTGATCCATGTCGCCAACTGAGACTGTCCATGATCCAACAAGTTCGCATCCAATTTCAGATTTACGGGAATGGACAAAATCAACAGAATTTTTGCTGCAAAAAATTATTTGTTGACAAGACCAAATCACTCAGTTTTAAGAAATATATGCTCATACTCAGTGTCGCCAAATACTTCTTGAGTTTGATTAATCTTAATGATGTCAATCTCTTTGCAATGGCAATAGAAAAAGACGACACATCACTTTGAAGTGCATAAAATTTTATTGATGGCTCTGAGTGTGGTTGTTATTTCTTTTACTGTCCTATACACTGCCCAAATTCCATTATATTACATAAATACATATATGGAATGGAAATGAGATCTAATAATATTTGAAGTCTATTGTATACTAAATGTTTTGGTTTGGCCCCTAGGATGTATCAATATATTCCCTATAAAAATACAAATCACATTTAGATTTAATCTTCAATAAAAGTAAAGTGTGAATCATATTACAGTATTTCAACTATGTAAACATACTTTGTTTTCCTTCTAATAATGACAAAAAGATGGTTCAATATTAGACAACACTGGTCTGTGATAATTTGTGTATTGTGTATGATTTGAGGGCATAGTTCAAACTAAGATAAGTAAGTGTGTAACAAAGACAATATTATGTCAACAGGCGCCAGTTACCGCAACTAGAAAACTGTTTATCTGATCTATTTACGGAGTGTTGCATAACAATATTATATGCTTGGCGGTTGTTATACCGCCTAAATTATATAAGGTTCAATGAATATACGAACTTACTAGTTTTGCAAGTATTTATCGACAGAATCCGGCCTAATATTATGCGTATGTAGAGCATAAATAATCTCCTTGTCGCTAAGCATGCGACTATGGGATTCTTTGGTGGGCTCTATCCTTCGCACTAAAAGCTTCTTAAGCCATCCGTCTTCCGCATTAGTATTTACACTTGACGTGCTGATCAGCCTACAAAAATAACTTTCGTTATATTCACCCGACATTTAATTGAAACACTTATATGAAAAACTGATACCACCTTATATTCTTCGGTAAATAGGTACACAAACTTATCGCTTTATTAAGAGACTTCATATTTTTTATATTTTAATTGAAAAAACTGCAATATTACACTATTTCCACTAAATAAGAAAGGAATTATTGCTGGTAATAAATGATAATACTTGTTATCATTTCACAAAATCACTTGAAGGTTAACTCTAAAATAGATTTTGGTTTAGTGCTGACATCTATCGTGTATTTTCTTTTTATCAACTTGACAACAGTTTCTCTTTTTCACTCCCTATATAGTATGATAAGGACAACCTGCTGTCAAAATTATAAATAGCTTGTGAAGGACTGTGCCCAAAACCTACGCTGTGAAAGCAACTTTTCTCTCTGACGTTTAAATTTTCACCTAATGTTTGCAGCAATAATGTCAACTTTGACATTTGTTGCACCTGGAGCGTAAGTTTTGAACGTGATTTTGAACGAAGCTAAGTCATAGCCAAGTACCACCTTATGGTAAGTGGCTTCCACACGATACAATTTTACGTCCAATTTGATTAGATTGACAATCAAATTGGGTGGTGTGGACGCTAACTGGCCAATTTTTTAACGTAGTCACTGTGCAAGCGGCGTTCAGAGCGGGTGTGTGCGTTGACTTGTCTTTTGAGAAGATGGAGCAACATGACGACAATATTATGTCTATTCGATCTGAACGGGAAGTAATGGAGGAGATTTTAGATAAATGTAAAGACTTGCCATGCTTTTGGGATGTGTCTAACCCATTATATAAAAATAAACAAGCAAGGCATAATTTCTTAGAGATTTTGCGGAATAAGAGGAAAAATATTGATAAAAATATTACTGTTATAATTTTTATTATTTTCAAAGCATGTAACTGCTTGATGTTTAAATCTAAAGAAAATATAACTAGAAAAAATTCCACGCGGATCAGGCAGTTATTTATTATTGAAAATAAAAAAATCATTTAATTAAATTTATATTCTACTCAATGATATGCGCGCATGCTGGGGTAAAACAGAAATAATATTATGTATATTTTTTTATAATTTTTATTTTTTAAGCATGTAATTGCTTGATGTTTAAATCTAATGAAAATATAACTAGAAAAAAATCCACGCGGACCAGGCAGCAGACGGGACTCGAACCCGCACCCTTTGCAATCCGGGCGAATGCACTAACCAATTATGCTACCGCGGCCCTCACGGACCGCGTCGAAATTCTTCCAGCCATTCTCAAGTTGCAAGGCAGCGCCATCTCTTCGCATTATAGGTAACCCACAATGTCAAATGAATACTTTTAAAAGTATTAAACATTTGAAAGAAGAAATAGCAATTATAGTTATAATTTTTATTATTTTTAAAGCATGTAGCTCGATGTTTAAATCTAAAGAAAATATAACTCAGTTATATTTTAAAGGGTTTTCGAAGGGTGCGGGTTCGAGTCCCGTCTGCTGCCTGGTCCGCGTGGAATTTTTTCTAGTTATATTTTCTTTAAAAATATTACTCTTTAAGTATAACTATATTTAAGTTTATTAATTGAGTCACTTAAATATAATATAACTACATTTAAGTGCCTCAATTGCTTTCTTCTTAATAACCATTGTTTTGTCCACAGTCTTTTTTTTTCTTTTTTTCTCATCTACATTTCCTAATACAAACAATTCCGTTCAGCAGAGGCAACAAATAAAACTGAAATTGGCGATCTTGTTGTGTATGTTTAGACGGACGACCAGATTGTACCTAATTCAATCGGCAATCAGATTGGCAATAAATTGTGTCATGTGGAAGGGGTTTTACGGCCACAATGCACGCACATTCAGAATCAGATTCACACTCAAAAAACAAGTACGAGAAATAAACGTGTATTTTAAGCAGGGTTGGCCATAGTGGCAGCAGGCAACCTGCTTAAACTACACTGTTTATTTCTCGCGCTTTTTTTCTGAGTGTGAATCTGATTCAGAATTTGCGTGCGGCCGTACCCTTAAGGCAAAAATATATATATTCGTGTCATGTCGGTTGTTTTCCAATTACAGAGCATAATGCGACTTAGTGGCGCCCAATGCCGAATTATGCTGATGCTTTAATTGGGACGTGAATTAGTTTTAAAATGCACCAGCAGAGTGCGCTAAGTTCAGTGTTGAAAAAAAAGTCAATGTTTGTACCTTCGTCCATACTTGTATTTATTTTTGACGTGACAACGTCTTAAATTAGGTTGCGGCTGGGAGTCACTTATGAAAAAGTGTAACGCTCGGTAACGTTACGATGAGTCTCTCGTGTTAAGTTTAAGTTTACATGTACAATGTTTTAGTAAACAAAATATATTTCTATAGTTAAAATTTGTGCAATTCTTATTTTCATTCAATTCCTTGTTCCTATTGTGCAATTTAATTATATTCATATCAATAAATATTCTACCGAGAAAAAGACGTTGTCACGTAAAATCTTCGCCCGTAAAACCGACTTTACAGGCAACCATTTTTTTTTTTAACACAGTTTGAATTAACTTTGATTATTATAGTAAATATATATATAAATTTCTTATTAAATAATTTTCAGAATTACTCCCAAAATAATAATAAACCCCAAAATATTAAAGTCTTATTATATTTGTAAGTACGCTCAAAACTCAGGTTAGCTGAGAAATTGAGAATGACCGTTATGAGTGTAAACAATTTGTAAAAAAAACAGTGGTGTCAATCCCGCCATGATTCTCTAAACTTAAAACCAAATTTAACATCAGTCTCACCATTTCATTCTGTATAGAGAAGGACAAGGAGGCACTGTTGTCAAATTTAAGTTTAGAATCATGCCAGAATCGGTATCAGTGTATTTTTATAGCATTGCACCTTCTCTTCTATCTCTTTCATATTTTTCAAATTATCTTCCGAACGGAATGCATCCATGATTGAAAATATGACAACGTTTTTTGGCGGGGATTTCTTAGAGTGCGGTTTGCGTCTTATTTTAATTTATTCTTAAACCCGTTCATAGCGGATATTGTGAAATAAAATTGGTGTGATTTTGTGTAACAACCATCTCCGCAACAGAAGAATTAGTGGAATCTTTAAAATATACGCTATTCTGGTCAAGTGAACGTGAGAACTTTATTGAAGTGTTGACTACCACACAGTAGCTTATCAAAAAAGCCAACCTGATATATTTCGTGCCAAACACTCCAAGAAACATGATAATGCCTCACACTGACATTCTAATCATAAAAAAGAAGATAAAACATAGGACGAGGCTGTATGGGTATTGTTCCTTTTGCTTTCCCTGAAAAGTGAGAATCTAAAAAAAAATGCTTTGACAAATGTCAATTTTTGTGATTGCAGTAGTGTCAGTGTTTTCTTCGGGTATTTCCCGATTGTGTTGCAGATACAGTGTATTTCGTGTAAAAAACCGTGTAAGTCGTTCAAGGTGCCTTTTTTTGAGACTCTAATCGAGAAACCTCGTCATGGGTGAGTGCACATTAGTTAGATCGATAAAACGTCTGTTTATTTATTTGTTTGTTATAGTGGGCGGTGTTGTTAGTAGAACGAAACGAGGTACCGTTGTTGATAATGTCTTTTTGTGCAGCGTCAAGCGAGGTGACGAAGCTTCAGCAGCATTTGACGCTGCTAAAGGAGGAATACAGCAAACTTCAGAGTCATTGTGCGGAAGTTGAACGCAAGTATACGTTGGTGGCTGCATCGGCCGGTGATCTGAGTGAGACTAGCTTCGTTGCTCGACTTCTAATGACAGTAGCCACACTTTATGGCCGAGACACATACTCTGACATCTCGATAAAACTGCAGAGCAAGTCCATGCCAGGACATAAATTTGTTCTGAATGCACGATCGGATGATTGGAATGAAGAAGCATTAAAAAATCTTGATGAGCTTGGTAATTGACTTGAAATATTATTTATATAAAATTTCACTGTCTTATGTGTTTTAGTGTAAGCTCTTTCCTGTAATTTGTGTCTACAGATTGGTCAAACCTGCCAGATGATATTGGAGCTGCTCTCCTCAAATGGCTTTACACAGATGTTGTGGATCTTACAAGAGGGGATACATTTGCAATGCAACTAATGAAGTCTGCTGCAAATTTTAAATTGCATGGTCTGGTGAATAAGTGTGAACAAGCTCTTATCACCAATGTTGGTGTAAGGTATGTAAAGATTTAGATTTTATATCAATATTCTATAATATCTTGGCTGCAATTAATTATCACATACCACAATAAACAATATGATTTCAACAATTAAATGATGAAAAAAAACTCAAATATTTATTATTATTATATACTGATATCGTATTTGAAGTTGTTAGTTTTTTTTAGAGTAAATCTCAGTGAAACCAATTCAGCATTTTAAAATATGTATTACATAGGTCATACTGTATTAGGTTCGAGTCCTGCCTGCTGCCTGGTCCACATGGAATTTTTTCTAGTTATTTTTTCTTTAGATTTAAACATCAAGCAGTTACATGCTTTAAAATAATAAAAATTATAACTATGTATTACATAAATAAATTTGCATAAATAAAAGTAAGATACTACTCTACTACTGTTGCAACTGTAATGATTAATCTTAAATGTGAAGCTAAGTGAATGAATTTTATTCATCATTTGTTGTTATCTATGAAGGAACTAATTTGGCTGGATCCAATTATGTTTAGTAAACAGATCCAATTATGTGTCTAATAACAGTAATTCTTAAATATATTTTAGAATTACTGTAGTTATTTGTAATCAATTAAAATGTGATGAACATAGAAATTTTTTAGGTCATGTTTGTGTTAATATAGGCTATATAAGCTTGCCAAAACAGTAGCTAACCAGTAATTTGAAACATTCTTTCAATGCAGTGGATTTATATTAGCCACAATATGAAGCAGGTCCATTTTTAGTACAGCTATCAGTAAATTAATAGTGCAAAACATTTGATACACCTGCTACCTGGTTTTGATATTCTATCCACACATTTATTAATTAATAAATATTATTACTCACCGGACAGTACATTTCATCTATAATTAGCCAAAGTTTGTGATTAATCAAAATCATTTTCCTGTAATAAAGAAACATATTTCATCTTATCAATTTAATTTTGGCTATGGCAATTCCATACAAAGGTGTAACAAGAGCAAGTATGAGGTCTATTAATACATGAGATAAAGCAAATGAAATATGTAAACATGCAACCATTGTAGAAGTGCAGAAAAGTGTTATTTTCCTCCCCTCCCTAAGAGGGTAGGTATGATTTTACAGATGTATGCAATTCCAGTAATAGGTTATTATAAATTAATAATAGTATTTCTAACACACTCCAATTTGCCTAGCCCTAAAGTAAGCACTGCATGGCTTGTGTTGAGGGATACTAGGGTAATGGATAGAATACCTATATGTACTAATAAATATATAAGATTTTTTTATATACATTTAAATATCCATGACGTAGGTAAAAATGCAAGTATTCAACACAAAAACATTTGTCCCACAGGCATTCAAACCTTGGACTTCTGAGTAGGTGACACCTTGAAAACCACCATACATACCACTCAAATCATGGAGGTCATCATATTATTGATCAGGGAAATGTTATTGTTTCAGAACCTGTGTAAAATTTTATTCAGCTGCTGATGAAATTGGTGCTAGTGCACTGAAAGAACACTGTTCTGGACTTATATCAGCACATTGGGATGACTTGACAGGTAAAAGTTTTCTTAAAACTGTACTTACAAAAATTTTCTTCATCATCTGATTTGATTTTAATTGCATATAAAATATAATTATAAATCTATACAGGGTTACAGGGAAAGTCGTACTGAATATTAAAGAATGTTATTATTCAGGTCATTTTTGATGGATTTGGTCCTATAATATGGTGTCCGAAACTTAAGAGCCCTTACACATTTTTTGCTAAAAATCGTAATTATTGAGCGCCTTATTTACCCCTTTAGAAAAGATTTTGAATATTTCTAATAGAAGTTAACAGTAGAATTATTCTTCCTATTGAAAGTTAATGTAGAATATTTGCAAATACTATTTTCCTGTTTTTGTACTGATCGTTCTACTGCAACTAGTTTACAGAAAAAACGATAATATGCACAACTTCAAACGCCTGAATCTCTCAATAATGTTCATTAAAGTAGATCAAATTAATTACTACGACATCAGAAATATGTTTTTGTTGTAACATAATGTATTAGAATTTTGATTTTCTATCTCATTAATTATCAAAAAAACATCTAACCTCCGTGAGTTTTCCCAAAAAATAATGCAGGTTTACCTCGTATTTTTATATTGAATTAAATAGAATTACTATCAAAAACTTTCATAAAACTAATCTACCTTCATTGAACTACTGAAATATGTATATATTTTTATAATTAGTTCAATAGTAATGATTTTATAAGACTCGAAACATCACCCGTAAAATACTAGTGCAAATCTACCTACGCGCCGATTAGTACGGCGGCGGTGCAATTTTGTAAAAGGGCTCTTAACCGTTATGGAGATATTGGATATTGAAGATTTTTTTAAAAAATCCTATATTTTTTGGGTTTTTGTCGATTTTTTTGAAACTAGACATGTCAAGCAATAAAAATAATGAATAAAAACTGAAGCTACTTCTAACGGCTTAAAAAAACTGCTCGACAACGTTTATAACTAAAGAATTTTCACCAAGTGTTCTTAACTTTAAAGCACTTTTCTAAAAAAAAATGTATGGAACTTATTCTGCAAATAATTTTAAAAACTTCTACGTCTCTTTAGCTATTCAAAAAGGTATAACACTTGCTATTAAATTGGCAAAACATTGACCAAATAACAGTTATGGTAGCAGAGGGTACATTTTTAGTTTGAGGTAAAAATAGCAAAAATACGTAAATAAAACCAGAAAAGCATCATCATCATCATCACCAGCCTATTAATGTCCCCACTGCTGAGGCACGGGCCTTCCCTATTGATGGAATAGGGAGATGGGGCCATGACCCACCACGCGGGCCCAGTGCGGATTGATGGCAACGGCTTAACGTGCCTTCCGAAGCACGGAGGAGCTCGAGATAGTAATTTTTGGTCACCAATCGCAGCCGAACGCGCTAACCACTTGCGCCATCGAGCTGCTCAAAATTATGATTCATGTTCAACATGGCCGCCGCTATTTCTAACACAATATACTCTCAATCTTTTTCTTAAATTACTTTTTACTACAGAAGTTTTTAAGTTCCGCCTCATATCCTCAGCCGCACCAATAAATCCTTTGTCGCAAAATATCGATATTTGCGATCGGCGTCATCTGGTCGTATACAAGGCTTTTCATATGACCCCACACATAATAATGAAAAGCCTTGTATACGACCAGATGATGCGATCGTTGAACTTAAGCAACTTTCGCAGTGGTCGGTCATTGGATGGGTGACCAAAAATTACTATCTCGAGCTTCTCCGTGCTTCGGAAGGCACGTTAAGCCGTTGGTCCCGGCCGCATCTGCAGTCGTTAGCACCCACCAATCCGCACTGGGCCCGCGTGGTGGGTCATGGCCCAATCTCCCTATTCCATCAATAGGGAAGGCCTGTGGCTCAGCAGTGGGGACATTAATAGGCTGGTGATGATGATGATGATGCTTTTCTGGTTTTATTTATGTATTTTTGCTATTTTTACCTCAAACTAAAAATGTACCCTCTGCTACCATAACTGTTATTTGGTCAATGTTTTGCCAATTTAATAGCAAGTGTTATACCTTTTTGAATAGCTAAAGAGACGTAGAAGTTTTTAAAATTATTTGCAGAATAAGTTCCATACATGTTTTTTTAGGAAAGCACTTCAAAGTTAACAACACTTGGTGAAAATTCTTTAGTTATAACCGTTGCCGAGCAGTTTTTTTAAGCCGTTAGAAGTAAGTTCAGTTTTTATTCATTATTTTTATTGCTTGACATGTCTTCTAACTAGATTCATAAAAAATCGGACCTTTGGAGCTCTAATTTCAAAAAAATCGACAGTAACCCAAAAAATATATGGTTTTTTAAATAAATCTTTAATATCCAATATCTCCATAACGGTTAAGTTTTGGACACCATATTATAGGACCAAATCCATCAGAAATGACCTGAATAATAACGTCCTTCAATATTCAGTACGACTTTCCCTGTAGCCCTGTATATATATATATATATATATATATATATACAACTCAAAGGTTCAAAGGTGACTGACTGACTGACAAAGTGATCTATCACCGCATATATATATATGTAATAATATAATATATTTATATATATATATATGGATATAGTAAAAATATGGAAATTCCTGATAAAGGCGTCATGACAGAAGAGGAATATACTGCATAGCAATGATGTGAGAAAAAATTTAGTAATAAACAGTATGTATTACCGCATTTTAAAAGTAATGCATATATCCATGCTTTATTTTAATAGTGACAAGTAATGTCTAAATGTATTATGTTATTTACCAACTGTCCGGGTGTTACGAATCTAATCCATTAAAAAAAAAGTTTTATGACAGCGACAGACGAAAACGCGCTGGATGTTACACTGTGGTTAGCGTCTGTGATCGTACTTATTTAAGTAGCTTTCATGAGCATAAATTAATTGTGTTGAGTTCCTCTATGCTTCACCAGGAGCTCGATGGCTCGAAGGCGCAGGTAGTTAGCGCATTCGGCCTGCGATCGAGGAAGTAGCAACTTTCGCAATGGTCGGTCACTGGATGGGTGACCAAAAATTTACTGTTGGTCCCGGCTGCATATGCATTTGTTAACACCCACCAATTCGCATAGGGCCCGTGTGGTAGGTGACGGCCGAATCTCCATTCATAAGGAAGGCCTGTGCCCATTAAAAGACGATGATGTGCTGGACGCTGGTGATGGCGATGATGCTTCACCAGGCACGTTAATCCGTTGTTTGGTCCCAACTGCACCTGCAGTTGTTACCGGCCACCAATGCGCTCTGGGACCGCATTAGTATCACTACTATGTTACATTAGCTATTCCATTATTAATTCTAATGGAATAAACCAATAGTCAATATTTGTTTTATTTGTTACAGGTGAAGACTTCGCTCACATGTCATCAGCTCTGCTATATCGCATGTTGAAAAGCAAAACGTCACAGCCTCTGCATGGCGCAGTTCGTCTATTGAGGGAAGATGTCGTCTTCCTCTGCCTAGTAGAAAACCACGCTAATGTGAGTACTTGCATGTTTGAATTGGTGGCTTAAATTAAAATCAAAGTCTTATAAACGACTTTGAATTAGAGGCATGAATAAGCGCCGCAGTTTCGTGCGAGCGTAACCAAATTGTAACTATTCGACACAATATCTAGAAGCGCAGTTGAAGACTATATCGTATAATCGTGATGTAATACATGCACTTTTTATTATACACCTTCAAACTTCCTAGGCATCGATCAAAGACAAGGAAGTCTGCACAGTAGCAATTTTACATACAAAATCGTCTACTGTGCAAGTTTATTTGTCTATGGTTTTGCTCAAGAAGTTTGCCCCTAAGTAAGTGTATGTCTATTATGTACCACTACAGTGCTTCTTTAAACATTTAAAAGCAAAGTCGCATATACCTAGTATGATATTATTTGTTAGTCGTTTTATCCGTGCGGTGACGGGAAAAGAATTCAATTCACCGCCTCTTTTTACTCGTAGGTGTCCTAAGAGGTAAGGGAAGCTTCCTTCCGTTCTCTATCAACTCGGAACTTCCCCTTCCCTCTCTTCAGGGCATAACACTGGTGCTACAGAAAAATATCACTATGCTCGGTATGGAAGTTCGCTTAGACTTGAATTCAAAAGACTACATTGAAACCGGCATTAAAAAGCTTCACGATAACTCTTGAGTCTTCAGCAAGGTGCTTCGTTTTTTTACGCCATGAAATGTGCTTGTTTTACAAGGCTTGTTCGTAAGTACTGTTTGCGTGGATTGCTCGCATCCTTGGGATGCAACGCCAAGTACTTACTCGATGCCTTAACAGGTTGCAGCGGCGCATTGCTCGCATCATTAGGGAAGTAGAGGTAACTGACAAACTCGAGTCTCTATAATTACGTAGCGATGTGGCAGTATGCGAGCTGACCTATGTTGTCACCGACTTACTGTGGTCAGAGCCTGATTTCGAGTTCAGACCGCCCTAGGCTAACTATGAATATGCGCCCCCTGCCTGTCTTCTCCTACCTTACCTTTTCATTCACTTACAGGGGAGCTCATTAAATTACAAGTACAGAATAGAGCTTACGTAACTTAACGGTCTCTTACCTCTGGTCCCAACAACATGTCACCCTGGTAGGTCCATGGGTATTCCTTACAGTGTTCACCAGTGGATCTATAGGAATTTATTTTTACCATGGTCTTACCATAGTAAGTAGTAAGTAAAAATTCATTTAAAAATATAACTATTTTGTGATGCAAGTGTTACCCTTGATATATTCTTGACAATAAAACGGAAATTAGATAAAAATAATAAATCAATTCCTCTTGAGATCATGTTAAGTAATAATATTAATAACATAAACAATTATCTTGAAATAAATTTGAATAGCAATTAGTTATCTAAATTTTTCCAGTGCCACACCATCTGAAATCTCACCAGTAACTAGCTCCATTTGAATATCACTAATGTTACCATCATTTTCAATCTATTCCGGGAAACGAAGCTCGAAAAATGGCAAAACCTCGCAATTTTTGCGTGCTGCATCGATTTGCATAAAATTAACGTTTAAACTAATCTTACCCTACTCAAAATCTACCATACCGTTGGGAGCTGTTTGTTTTTTAAGGGTTAAAACTCGACTAATTTCCATATTTAAACCTTAAGATGGGGTAAAGTTTGGTTTGGATTAGTTTAAGAATGTTCTATGCTTTGGAATACAATATCCGAATATTTCAACACTTACTACGCTTGTAAAAGCTTACTAAAAACAATTAATAGCTTGACAAAGTTGTTAATTAAAAATCTTTCTGCCTGATATGTTACCAATTTATTTGTTTTGCAAATTTTCTACCCTTATAAACTACCCCTTACAACATTGTCATTCTTATCTTAGGAGTTATTTAGAAGAACTACCCAGTTTTCATTGATTTTTTCATAGCAAAAAGTAGACCGACCTTACTTTTATCATAACTCAATTTTCATGATAGAGACAGACTTTTTTTTAAAGAATGGTGTAATAAAATTATAATCTTTAAAAAAGATTATATTATATAAATTTTCCTCGAAACATGCACAGTTTTCTCGCTAATTGACTTTGAATTTTTTTAAAAATATTATTTGACGAACAAAAGCTAACCATTACCAAGGGGTATTTCGGTCCGTATTCGTTGCAGTTTTTTTTTAATTTTATTTTTTTAAAAGTTGCAATTTGACTCTCTACAGATTTTTTTAATATAATGGATGATTTCGAGTTATTCTTGAAAACCCCATTAGAAAGGTCTATTTCTTCGTCTAAAAACTGTTCCTTTCAATTGCGAATAATTCCAAAAATATAAGTTTTACAAAAAATAAGTGAGAACGTTTTCTATCTTAAAATTATCTTTTTATCGATTTCTGTCCTCAAAAAGTAATAAAAAAAACCACCCCTGAGATGGGCTGGCAACCACCTCCTGGATAAAGGGTCTCCTCGGCGTGATATAGATTTAAATCCCAGGGCTATTCCTTATCTTGTGTGAAAATTTCTAGTAAATCCATGTAGGACAAAAAAATTGGGAGCCAAAAAGCTTCATTTTCTGGACTAATTAATGATTTTTTGGTCTTGATTGTAATCCTTTTTTTTGTTTTTTTATGCATAATAGGCAATGCGTTTGACCACAATCTCACCTAATGGAAAGTGATGATGAAGCCTAGGATGGTACACGCCTGCCTAGAAGATGCCTGTTGACTCTGGCCTTGAAGATGAGATTATATTGGTCCGGGAAAACAGACCTCGGCAAGGAGTTCCACTCCCTAGCCGTTCGCATAATGAAGGCCGAAGCAAATCGCTTCGTGCGAATGGGAGGAACTTCGACAACATAAGGGTGGAAGCCCTCGCCGCGCCTGGTCGTCCGGTGGTGGAAAGTCCCCTTTCCACCACCGGACGACCAGGCGCGGGGGGATCAAATTATGTAATACCTCCGCACACTCTCCGAAATGTAACCGATAAAGCACCGAGAGGCTTCCAGCTTCCAGGGTTGCATTCACTCCCTCCACCATCGCCTCCCTTAATGATCGGACACCTGCATCAGACTTCACATCCGGCAGATATCTCTCCGAAACTGTGCTGTCGTTGGCATACCCAAAGATACCGGGAGTTAGGAGCAGATCATTGATTTGCAGCAAGAATAGAGTTGCGGAGAGGACAGATCCCTGAGGGACACCGGCATTAATACCAAGCAGATCCGACGATGTGCCATTAATGACCACTCGTATCGATCTGCCCCTCAGAAAATCTGCAATCCAGTTGCAAAGTCCGACAGCGATTCCATATGAAGGAAGCTTGCCAATGAGACTTGCATGCATACATGGTGTGGACCCTGTCAAAAACCTTAGAGATATCAAGAGAAACGGCGAGAGCTTCGCCGCGTTTTTCTATGGCTTCACTCCATAAGTGGGTAGCATAAACAAGAAGATCCCCAGTAGATCGCCCACGGCGGAAACCGAATTGACTGAGGAGATCGTTATCTTCGAGGTAAGTGAGGAGACGGTTGTTCAATACACGCTCCATAATCTTACAGAGTATGGAGGTGATTGCAATAGGTCGATAGTGGGCAGGGTCGGCACGACTACCCTTTTTGGGTACTAGTTGGACATTGGCAAGCTTCCAGGTTTTCGGAACTTGGCCAATCTCAAGGGATAAGCGATATAGGCGAGTCAGAATAGGAGACAACTCAGGGGCACAATAGGGATGATGACTAATTTTTTTTTCTTCGCTTATCAGGTAGATTATCAAAAAATATTGGACACGTATTTTTTCTTTTTTCACATAATATAAACATTGCAGAGATATATTAGATTTGAAAAGTCGCATGACGTCACGTTTGAGTACATTTATAAGTGAAAATTCAGTCAAAAGTGACGTCACGAGCCCCTACTCCCAAACTTTGACGCGCTATAACTTTGTCATTTTTTGGTTGATTGCCCAAAGAAAAAATACGTGTCCATTATTTTTTGGTCATCTAACTGACGGACTAAATAGAATTTCGTTTACTGTACCCCGTCATCACCCCTATTCCGCAGGACAATAGCTGGAATGCCATCGGGCCCGCTGACTTTATTCACGTCTAGAGTGCTTAGCGTTTTGAGTACTTCTTTCTGATGGATGCGAACTTCCAATATGGCAGAAGAACACTGAGGAAGCTTAGGTGGGTTTACGCCAATGCTTATTAATTTTGCTTATTAAATTCAACAGTTGTTTAACAGTGTAAAAGTAAAAAGCCATTGTCTAAATGAACGGTGAAATACCGAGCCCTTCAGAAAATGAGACGCCTCTGCCACTTAGAAGTTTGTGGACGACTTGTATATTTGGCGGCTAACCTGTCCCTTAGTGCGGTGGGACCATGATAAAAATAAATTACCCGTAGACCCACTGGCGACCACTATTTAGAACAGTGGGATAACAGATAAAAAAACCGTGGATCCACCAGGACATGTTGGTGGGACCAGGGGTAATAGCCGACTTTTACAATCTATTTATTTAGTCCTAAAACTATAGAAGAAGATAGAAAAAAAGATAAAAATAAAAAAAATGCGAAAATTGCTCTATTACTTTAAGTTCAAGTTAAATTCGATTTTCTTCTTACTCACCGGCGAATAATTTCATAATATTCTCAAAATTAACATTTTGTAATAAAAACTTTCTCCATAAATAATGATTTTAAATATCTATAGTTTTATAATATGTTTGTGTGAGAGCGTACGCCGTGATGTTATTTTAACGCACGTATTTTCCCAAAATTACTAAATATTTTTCCATAAATCTCAGCGCTGCGCCTGCCGGCCGCCACCTTGGACCGTAAATCAGGCCCTGACCACGGCCCTGACTGTGGTCACCATTCTAACGTTAACAAAGTTTGGTGACTCATTTCTTTGCCGCACTATCTTATCCAACCCCAAGGAATTCTAATGGGGGATGATGGAAAGATGGGCTTGAAATTAATTTCAGTTCCCAACGGACCACACATGGGGTCGGAGGCACGGAGTTCAATTCCGCAA